TTTCAATCTGTATGGGGATGGAGTGTTGGCCCCTCCCCACATGCATGGGTTTTCATCTGGGTGCTCCGGTTTCCTCCCATTTGTATTAAAAAAACACTCGTTAATTGGCTGAATTTGTTTTTTTTTATGAGAATAAGTTTTCCCCTTTTTTTCTGGCAACAAAACAGCTGTGTTAAGATGTTAAAACACCAAACTGAAACCTTTTACAAGGAATCATGTCTGCATTAACCACAAACTGATTGGTCCGCACCAGAGACAGCTTTCTTTTGAGCCTCGTCTCAAACGGTGTAAGACCAGAGGACGCCAAAAAGCCCTCGTGATAAAGAGCCCTACATTTCAGTGTGGTTTTTCTAGCTAAATAAGTAAATTATTATGAAGCGGGTGTCTGTGTATTTGTGTCTGTTGGTGTAATCCTGTATCTGTGAGTCTGTTACGTCCTCGCTTAGCTTTCAAGATGCGTTCCTGAAGAAGTGAGCACGAATCGAATCAGCGCTAAAAGGGTCATTACACCATTGCATACATGGGGATGCATTCCCAATAGCGTTATTTATTTCCCATGAGCAATATATGAGGGCTTCATTGGGGTCTGTGTGGGGAGCGATGGCAAAGTGGTTAGCGCGCTCCGCAAGAACCCGGTGACCCGAGTTCGATTCCTGCTCACGACCAACACCAGTGACGATTATCTGAACTGATCCTGGGTCTCCCCTGGGTTGACTCCGCCTCAACTAGTACCTGATGTGGTGTATAACAAAGGCGGCCGGGCATGGTGCTGGCGACCCACCCCCTCGTGTACAGTGTCGGCGTTCATAGGTGCTCAGTATCAGCACTTGCCCCAAAGGTCTGTTAAGGCTATGAGGGGGTTCTTTGTTTCGTCGTCACCTGCTGCCAAAACCTTCCACACTTCACGTGGCCTCGGAGTGCACCTGGCCTGGCACAAGAGCAGTGGTGACGTCACCGCCACTTGGTGGCGAATGGCGGCTGTTGTTGTGTTGCTCTGTGTTTCTGAATGTGATGCAGTTATCTGGGCCAGAGTGATTGGACAGCGTGGGGCGAGATCAGCTCAGTAAAACAGTAGGAGGCTGCTAGACTCCTGTGCAGCCCATGGGCGTGTAATCACCAACATGCTGTTGCAGCATCGGTGCATCCATAACATCATGCATGCATGCCATGTCCCAGCAAGAACATCTGGACTCTTTAGTGATGGAACAGAGAATTGGGACCCACGTCCTTGACACCAGGACCTACTGTGGAGCCTATCTGCCCACTGACTAGCTATCGGTCAGCTTGTCATCTGTAAGGTGCTCCTGCCATTCTCCAGTGGTGGGCATCCACCTCCGACCCTATTCAAATCCTCATTGGCTTGTTCTCAGCTAGCTGATGAAACCTTCAAATGAGAATGAATCGACGCTTGCAGCTGGGGTTGGCGTCGTTCCCCCCGCCTCCTGATGCCGAAGGGAAAATGGCCGAACTTTATGACTGCAGGTCATGCAGCTGCGTTGGCCGCATTGGGTACGCAGTCCAGACCTCCCTGGGAAATCCTGGCTTGAAGAAAGGAGGTGTTCCAGCAAGCTCAGAGAAAGCGGCAGGTCCACTCCCACCGTCTCCGACATCCCAAGTCCCAGAATGAGGAGGTTGCTGCGAGGATAAGTGGTGATTACGGAGTGGTGATCGCGGACTGCTGAAGAGATGGAAACTGCCTCAGCAGCTCTTGACCACAAATCACTCTTTATCGCGATACAAAAGCAACTTTCAGCACCACTCTGATTACCATCCTTCAGGGAAAGAAAGGTGATCCAATTTCTTGAGCCCCAACAACATGTTTGCAGATTTGCAGAACATTTCTGTGAGGTCTTGAGGGAGGTAAAATCCCTGAGCTCAGATATCATGGGGCATGATGGGGGGTTGACCCTGCTGGAGCTGCGGTACCTCAAATATTGGACGAAGTAGCCACCCCCTGAGAGTCCTTGGCTGGTATACCATCTGTTCAGGAGGTCAAAGAGCAATTCACATTCCGAGACCAGGTAAAGCACCAATCGAACTGCTGGGGGAGGCTGGCGTTTGTGCAGACTACACGAAGTTACATCATTACAGCTGCCTCGGCCATAAGATGCTTTCCGCAGGATTGAAAGGATGCCTTGTTGGGGGTCCCCCTCTTTAAGAAGGGGGGGGGGGGGCTGCACTGATTACAACAACTACTGGGGCATCTTCCTCCTCAGTGGGCCGGAAAATGTCCTGGCAAGGATTATTCAACATCGCCTAGCCAGACACACCGAGGAGAGGCGGAGGCCCAATGCGGTTTGAGATCAGGGTGGTCCTGTACTCTTTGGCTGTCTGCTACAGCAGAGGTATAGGGAATTCCAGCAAGACTTGCATCTCTACTTTATTGAACTGGTCAAGGCCTACGAGACCATCAATGATTCAGGGCTCTGGGTTATTCTTTGTGCTTTCTGGGCCCCAGACCTTGTGCTCGCAACCATGAAGGACCTTTATAATGGTAGGCAGACCCAGGTAAATATCCGTATCCAGGAGTCAGTCATTCCCCGTTCTACTTGGAACATTGGAAAGGTTTCCATACCTGGGCAGTGTGCTTATGGCCAGCTCTGGTTTGACAGCAGAGGTCCCACTCCTAATCAGGCGGGCAAGCAATATATTTTCATCGGCTGCATAACGCTGTGTGGAAGCTACCTGGTCTGTTGCTGCGCGCGAAGCTTCGGGTCATCTCGGCCACAGTCATGCCCTCTGTTCTCTATGCTTGCGAAACGTGGACCCCTCTAATGGAACATCTGCATCAGTTTGAAACATTCATGCTAGCCTGCCTTACGATAGATCCTGATTAACCAGGTTGGATTGTGTGAGGAGCTCACAAATCCTTGAAAGAGCTGGGCACATTCCCTTCAGGCTGCGTTGGCTGGGTCATGTAGCCTGCATGCCCAACAAAAGCATGCCCAAGCAGCTTCTGTTTGATCGGATAGAGGGGGATAAATGGGTGCAGCATAGGTTGGAGAAGAGATGGACTGATGCGGTACAGAATAATGTAGAGCTGAGTGGACTTGCCAATAACTGGTACCAGCGGTGTCAAAATCGGCCCCTGTGGAGGAGGCTCGTGAAGGATGCCGCTACTGGGCAGTTGGAGGCAGTCGCCCTCCAACAACAACGGAGGGCGGAGGAGCGACGCTCGCCACAACTACATCGAACGCCGAGCAACTAAAATGCAGCAAGTTGGCACAGTGGGGGGGGGGTACAGCTGGTGCATCTGCCAGTCATCTCAGTCAACCCATGGCACCTGGGTCTGTCTCGTGACCTGTCAGCGGGCCTTCGACACTTCACGTGGCCTCAAAGTGCAGGCGCCGTGGTAATGTCGCTGCCACTTTGTGGCGAATGGCGGCAGTTGCTGCGGTTGTCGTTGTTGTGAGGCTAGGTAGGCCTGTGTGTGTGTGCTGACGGTGGGAGCATCGGCGGCACGTTGGTTCGCTACGAACCCGGCGAACCGCGTTCGATTCCCACTCACAGCCGTCCCGGCCCTCACCGGTGCTGCTCGCTAACAGCACTTGCTTCAAACGTCTGTTAAGGCTCAACCGGTGATGTGTGTTCTTTTTCATCTTTGTGGTTGTAGCTGAGTGTGTGAGATGTGTGTACCCTGCGTGTCCTTTAGCTCAGCTCGGCCGCAAATGAGTTGTGTTGGTATAGTGCATCGGCACCACTGTTCGAGAGACAAAGGCGGTCAGGCGTTTGTGATGGCTACAGCACTTATTTGTGCGCGGAGGCAGCGTTAATAGGTGTTCGCGGAAAAAAAAAGCGTGTTTTGTTGTTAGTGATCTCTGAGGCTAATTGGGAGATCCTTTTGTGCGTGTCTATGTATGTGGGTATGAATATGTGTGTACAGTCGTGTCTGTCTCTTTGTTTGTATGGATGTTTGTATGTGTGCACGTGTGATGTGTTTGTGGCGAGCAGTGGTACGGTGGTTAGCACACTGCACTACGCACCTGGTCACCTGAGTTTGATTCATGGCCCAAAACGTGTCCTGGGCCTCCCCTAGGTCAACCCGGCCTTGAACTAGTACCTGATGCAGTGTAAAAATAGCCTTTGGGAAGGCAAAGGCGGTCGAGCGTGGTTGCTGGCCACCCACCATATCGTGTGCCGTGCCGACTTCTCGCGAGCAGCACTTGCCCCAACAGTCGGCAAAGGCTGTACGCGGAGTATTTGTATCTGTGTGTCTGTATAGGAGAGATCTCACTAACAACACTTGCTCTGACAGTCTGTGTAGCTAACCGAGTGCTGTCTTTGTGTGTGTGTGTAGGAGGGGGGGGTGCTATCTTTGTCTTTTGTGTGTGGCGTCCCAGCTGCTTCGTGGATTTGCTTCCTGACCATTGCAAAACCGATTTCCCCCCCCCCCCTCCCCCTTTAGGTCTACTCAACCTAAAATGTTTAATACACGCGAGTTGCACTGCGGTCATGTTCCGTTGCACGAAGGGGGTGCGGGTGGTGCCACGGTTGCCGGCTCGGGGTGTGTTGACGGTGATGCTGCGTCAATTTCGTCAATTCTTTGGGCGCACGAGGGAATCGATGTCCCCCCCCATTAATTGTTCGCTGGTTCACATCACCACCCCCCCGCCTTGCAGCCACTAGAGGCGCTACCATCCGCACGCCGCGGGGGCTCGTCGTCTGTGTTGCCTGCAAGAGAAGCACTTCCCCGTCCAAGAGGCGCTGCTCGGTTTTCAGGGCTTGAGCCGGGGTGGTGGGGGGGGGGATGTCTCTTGTGTGGGGAGCGGTGGCGCAGCGGTGAGCGCACTGCTGGAAGGGCCGAGTTCGATTCCGGTTCGCGAGCAAATATAACCGTGGCGAATGTTCATAAAGCGGTCCCTGGGCATCTCCTAGGTCGACTCGGCCTTAAGTACCCGGTGCGGTGTGTAAACATCGGCGCTGGCGAGACAAAGGCGGCTTGGCGGTTGTGGTGGCCACCCACACAGTCGTGTGCCGTGCCGGCCTTCATAGACGCTCGCTAACAGCACTTGGCCCAACACCCTGTTAAGGCTACATGGGGAATCTTTGTTTTTCCTTTGTCTATGTGGAGCACGAGCGTTGTGGTTTGCGCGCTGCGTTATAGTTCAGTTCGATTACAGGTGGCAACTCCACCTGGTTTGGCCCACGCCTAGGTCAAGTCAACCTAAAATGAATGTGATTTTTTTGTGTCACAGTGCCAGCATGACAAATCGGCTATCGTACTTGTGCTGGCCCTGTACGGACACGCGTGTGTTTGTGTGTGCGTGTGTCTGTGTTTGTGTGTGTCTGTGTGTGTGCGTGTGTGTGTGTGTGCATGTGCGTGTGTGCTGTTCCAGCCTTAACAGGAGCTCGTCAATAGGGTTAGCTTCAACAGTCGGAAGGCACACGCCCTGCACAGAAATGAAATGGATTTATCTTTGTCGTCCTCTTCCGAAACATCTGGCCGGCGAGGAAGAGTAGACCAAGTGCTTTCTGGTGTGCCTCTCTTAGAGCGTGAGCGAGTCATTGCAGGACAGCCCCCTTTACCCTTTTGCTGTGTGTCTCGCTCGTCACGCTTCCTCTCGCCTATGTGCCCTGGCTTGCTCGGACGCTGCTATTTTGCTCCATTAGGAATTTTTAATTAGCATCCCATTTGCATGTGCTTTGCATAAATTGTAAATAATTGATCGTCGCACGCGCTGGTCGATCGCGAACGTCGGGAGTGTGCGATGCTCGATTCGCGTTGTCGTGCAGCTACCTGGGTCGTTGAGGGGGTGGTCTCGCTCATGAGGAAACCTCACGTCAACAAGACACAATCATCCTCGTTGTGCATACAGGGTGTCATTATCATGCCTATTGCGTGGTATTTTTTTTTGCCCTTGGAAATTATGGATCGTGGAATTTTATTCCACAACAGTTCAATATGTGTAGGAACTAAATGCCAATGTCTGCTCGCCACGAGAGGGCTTCAGGAGAGAGTTGAAGTCGTTTTTTTCTGGTCCTCCATTCAAGCAGCGCTGACTATGGTGGTTTACAGCACGTATGTAAGAACTTCTTTCGCACCGTACGTTGCCAACCGTGCCAGTCAGAGGCGCGGGTGGCAAGGACGACAAACTAAACACAAAAAGCAGTTCTAAAGAAACGAATTTTCACTCTAGATTTAAAAGTGCATAGCTCCCAGTGGCTTAGTAATATCAGAAGGGAGAGCGTTCCAGGCGGCCGCAGAAGCGCATCTGAACGCCCACGATGCGGTGACCACCACCGTCTTTGTTCCATGGCTTGCCAAGAGCCGCTGCGAGGATGACCAGAGTTGGCGTGATGGTTTATTCCCATTGAGAAGATCACCAAGGTATTGTGGTTCCTTTGTGGCAAGCACTTTGTGTGTAATGAGTGCGACCTTATGAAATGGTCCATAGTTTGGGTTGCATGGCGACAATCACACTTCTGTAGCTCGCCTTTAATGTATCTGTATGGGTCTCTATGGAGCTATCTCTGTATCTCCATGATTGTGTGTCTCTGTATTTCTATGGGTCTCAATTAATCTCTGAGTCTCTTTCTCTAAGGCTATCTATCTCTGTGAGGCTATGTGTATCGTGTTGTGTCTATGGGTTTACGATATGATTCATAGTTTGGAATGCATGGCCATCATCGCACTACTGTAGCTAGTCTTTAATTTTCCATTTTTGGAATAAGTCGTTGGTTTGACACTAACACGAAAATGAATGCATACATGTCCCTTCCAGCATGGATTAAATACTCGGTTTGTCCGAGTATCTCCGGCCATGCTTTTGCATGGAAATGTTTCCCTTGATCAGGATAGGCGGACATGTAATTTATTTATGAATTACAGTCCTATTTGATTGACATGCCATGCCGGAAGTAAAATAAAACACTGCAGCATTATAATCCGAATGATTACCCATGGCCACGGCTAACATTGGCGAGTGATATCTGGCCCAGTGCCGTGTGTGTGCGTGCACGCGTGCATACTGGCCTTGATAGGTGCTCGCTATCAGCACTCGGCCCAAAAGATTGTTCAGGCTATAAGGGAGATCTTTGTATGTGGATCTGTGTGGAGAGAGATTTTGTGTGTATGTGTTAGCTTGTGCGTGTGTGTGACTGCTCACGTGCATGAGTATGTGTGGAACAGTTTGTGTGTGTATACATATACGCGTGTGTGTGTGTATACATAAAAGTGTGTGTGTGGGGAATGGTGGTGTCGCGGTTAGCATGCAGCAATGCGAACCCGGTGACCCGAGTTGGATTCCCTCTCACGGCCAACACCAGTGACGAATATCTGAACCGGTCCTGGACCTCCCCTTGATGGATTCCGCCTCAAATGAGTACCTGGTGCGGTGTGTAAGCATCGCCACTCGGGAGACAAAGGCGGCCGGACGTGAAGCTGGCCACCCACCCCCTTCGCGTACCGTGACGGCCTTCATAGATGCTCACTAACACCACTTGCCCCCAACAGTCTGTTCGGCTATACGGGGGATCTTTCTCTTTGTTTGAAAGTGGCTGTGTATGCAGGTCTGTGTGGCAACCGATTGTGTGTGTGTGTGTACACAGTGGTTGTGTATGTAGGTCTGTGTGGAGACAGGATCTGTGTGCATGTGTTAGCGTGTGTGTGTTTTTATATGTAGGTCTGTGTGGAGACAGGTTCTGTGTGCATGTGTTAGCGTGTGCGTGCGTGCGTGTGTGTGACGGGCCGCGTGTGTGTGTGTGTCCGTGCCTCAGCAGTGTAAATGCCGACCATGTTGGGCAAGCGATCGGAGATGCTGAAGGCGCGCGCCACGACGGGCCCCGTCTCGTGGAAGCGCTGGAAGGGCCCCCTGGGCGCCGGCATCGAGTCTCACTCCAACGGACACCACCACCACCACAACCACCACAACCACCAACACCACCACTCCCCGCACAACCACCACAGCGGCGGCGGGAGTAGCGGCGGTGGCGGCGTCCTGCAGAATGGACGAACAGGTGGGTCACGGGGTCGGGGGTCGGAGGTCGGGTCAGGCCGGATCAGCTGGAACTGCCACGGCAGGTTAACGTCGCCGTGCATCATTATTCTGTGGCTAGTGAGTACTACGATCGGCCGTGATCTATCCGCTGCTGGATGAAGGTCTCCCCAAGCTGTCGCCATTTCTCACGGCTCTGCGATGCAGCGTTCCATGCAGCCTTTGCGCAAGCGCGGATTTCATCGCTCCGTCTCCACGGTGGACGCTCTTCTCGGGCGCGCTCCCCGGGAACTCGTGGAGAGTTTCCCGATGGAGACGAATTCCCTTCTCCCCCCCCCTACTCACACCAGAGAAACGTGACATTTCTACCACTGGCTCAGAGCTACGAATGGAAATGAACACATCTTCACACTCACTTGAGCACGGGGACATTTTGACGTTGAACAGTACGATTGGGAGAAGAGATTGGTAAACTGGTCCTGGGTTTCCTGCTTCACCAACCCACACTGACCAGTGTGGTGAGGTATGGCCAAACAAACCCCTTGACCGACACGGCATCGGGAGATGTTTATTCAGCAGTGCATTGACGAAAGGTCGTACATTATCATCGTTATTATTATCATCGCTTGTATATTGCATAAAACAGATTGCCATCAGAGGTCTCTTTTTCATGGTAGACCTGAGTCAAAATCTAAAACACTAAACTATAAAACTGAACAATTTTTTTTATTTTACCCGAAGCGACCTGGCCACAAATGATAGCTCAACGAAAGTGACTTACCACGTGGAAATTGATTGCAGCCAAATACTCAGAATGCGTGATGTTGATTCTAAATGTGGAGGAACACAAAAAAAAACGGGGAGAACATGCAAACTCCAAATATACAAGCGTCGAACCCACGACCACGGCACCCAAAATATGCAATCGTCAAGTTCATTGAATTCACCGCAGTCATTGTACAACTTTCTGGAGTTCAACATCGGTCGAACGTTAAACGCGCGGTTGTCGTGTTATTTGTGACGGCGTGCACTGCCAGCACCGGGACCACGTGACGTGGTTGGTTTCGTCACGGGAGAGCGACTCGGACCTCTGACCTATGACCTCGTGGCTTCAGAGGTCAGAGGTGCTGAGCTGGCACTGCAACAGAGAGCCTGGGTTCGAATCCTGGTGTCGGCCACCTGTGATTAAAACGTGATTCTATTCGGTAAAGTCACGTAGCTAAAAAATGAAACAACATAAATCACGACGTTTCGGCCACAACACAAGTGGCCTTCCACAACACAAGTGGCCTGATGAAGGCCACTTGTGTTGTGGCCGAAACGTCGTGATTTTTGTTGTTTTATTTTTTACCTACGTGACTTTACCGAATAGAACCAAAGAGTATGGATCCTTGCAGTCACGAAAGCTTCAAATCTAGAATTAAAACGTGATTATCAAGTATGGCGAGTCGGGTGTCTCGGCTGAGACGCCAAATTACTCCACCAAAACAAATCCATTGCATAAAAAAAAAATGTAGGTTTCCCTCAACTTGGCAAAAAATTTGAGTTCTGAGCTTTCGGCTTAACTGCCGCGCGATGGGTAAACCTATACGTGGGCGCGTGGGGGAGTGCAATACCTCTCGTGTGAAGAAGAGGTCACGGGGATCTCGGAATGGATCTCACCCGAGAAGTATTTCTGTGATATCACCTTTCTCGGGCTGTTGTCTCACACAGGTTGATGCACTGCTCTCCGCAAGAGTGACAAGAGGGGTGGCCCGTCTCGGGACACAGTGCCGATGGCACAGTTGGAATGAGATGGGAAAGAGACTAAATTGTGTTTTTGACATTCCCATATGAATAAAACTTTCACATTTTTTTTAAAAAGGGAACTGGCCTGGTGGCTCAGTGGTAGGGCGAGCGGCTCGCAATCGGAAGGTTGCAAGTTGACGTTCTGTTTGAGGAGAGATTAATCATGTATCACTTTGTGGGGACGTCAATAATGGTTGTCCTATGGATCGACTCGTATCTGCCATAAGAACGTGGATTTTGCACCGTTTGTTCATGGTTATAATCCATAGGTGAGCAACAAAATCACTGACTTTTTTGAAAGAAAGAGAGCCCGCGGCTGACTAAGTTGTTGGGTGGGTGGTTCTTGCTGCCGTTTGAGCTCCGAGTTGTGATTTCACCCCCAGGGGGCGGAGGCATCCGTGTGGGCTCGGCTTTCCAGGCCACGATCCCAGAATTCAGCCCCGGTGAGTGACGGCACGGCACCCGACACAACCAACCTGGCACATCTGCACGGCACGGAGACCCAGCGTCGCCAAACAATCAAAGTTTTCCGAGTATGCCCTCTATAGCCAAGCCGACTAAGCACACTGAACCAGGAACAGAGGCTATTCGCATAGCCTCCAAAGCACACTCTTCCTGGCATAGCCTCCTTAACCTTTTCCCATTCCGATGACGTATGTGTATGGCATCAGTTTTTCTTCCGATTCCGCCCGGATGACATACGTGTACATCATCAAAACGAAACTGGAACAAAAAATTCAAGAACTTTATCAGTATCGAGGCTTTCACAAGGCCATGCGGGAGGGTGTGTGGCACAGTTTGGCGCCAGCTATCATGGAGTGTGGTCGTGTCGCTACAGTTCTCTGCGGTGAGTACAGTGTCTTTAAAAACAACGGCACCATACCTCTCTAATTAAAATTAACGCAACTTGCAGACGTCTCGGAATGGGAAAAGGTTAATGTAACAAACCTGGCACTGCCTTCCTGATAAACACTCAGTGGCTCAGCCAAACCCATTATGTGCAACCAAACACAGCCTCCTCTGCACTGCCGACCTGGCCGAGCGCGCACAGCATAGCACGGCCGCTCCTCTCGTTGTGAAACATCCCCTCTCCTGGGCGTGCCGCCCATTCTGCGTCCCTCTCTCCGTCTCTCCCTCCCGCGTGTGCGCGTGGGATCTTAGTGATGCCACGCGAGCGCACCAGGGATCGCGACAGGGAGGACGTGCCGGTGTGGTCGCCTCACCACTCCATCCCCGAGGAGCAGCGTGAGTGCACGCCCGCTCACTCGCTCCCCCGACTGCTCCCTGGCAGTCCCCTCCCGTGGGGTTTGGTGGTGGCGTCGTCAACCAGAAAGGAGTATCTGCTGCTGCTGCTGCTGCTGCTGTTGCTGCTGATAGTGCATCTGATAATAATTAACTGTGGCTTATACAGTGAGGGAAAAAAAAGTATTTGATCCCCTGCTGATTTTGTACGTTCGCCCACTGACAAAGAAATGATCAGTCTGTAATTTTAATGGTAGGTTTATTTGAACAGTGAGAGACAGAATAACAACAACAAAATCTAGAAAAACGCATGTCAAAAATGTTATAAATTGATTTGCATTTTAATGAAGGAAATATGTATTTGACCCCTCTGCAAAACATAACTTAGTACTTGGTGGCAAAACCCTTGTTGGCAATCACAGAGGTCCGACGTTTCTTGCAGTTGGCCACCAGGTTTGCACATATCTCAGGAGGGATTTTGTCCCACTCCTCTTTGCAGATTTTCTCCAAGTCATTAAGGTTTCGAGGCTGACGTTTGGCAACTCGAACCTCCAACTCCCTCCACAGATTTTCTATGGGATTAAGGTCTGGAGACTGGCTAGGCCACTCCAGGACCTTAATGTGCTTCTTCTTGAGCCACTCCTTTGTTGCCTTTGCCGTGTGTTTTGGGTCATGGTCATGCTGGAATACCCATCCACGACCCATTTTCAATGCCCTGGCTGAGGGAAGGAGGTTCTCACCCAAGATTTGACGGTACATGGCCCCGTCCATCGTCCCTTTGATGCGGTGAAGTTGTCCTGTCCCCTTAGCAGAAAACACCCCCAAAGCATAATGTTTCCACCTCCATGTTTGACGGTGGGGATGGTGTTCTTGGGGTCATAGGCAGCATTCCTCTTCCTCCAAACACGGCGAGTTGAGTTGATGCCAAAGAGCTCCATTTTGGTCTCATCTGACCACAACACTTTCACCCAGTTGTCCTCTGAATCATTCAGATGTTCATTGGCAAACTTCAGACGGGCATGTATATGTGCTTTCTTGAGCAGGGGGACCTTGCGGGCACAGCAGGATTTCAGTCCTTCACGGTGTAGTGTGTTACCAATTGTTTTCTTGGTGACTATGGTCCCAGCTGCCTTGAGATCATTGACAAGATCCTCCCGTGTAGTTCTGGGCTGACTTCCTCACCGTTCTCATGATCATTGCCACTCCACGAGGTGAGATCTTGCATGGAGCCCCAGGCCGAGGGAGATTGACAGTTCTTTTGTGTTTCTTCCATTTGCGAATAATCGCACCAACTATTGTCACCTTCTCACCAAGCTGCTTTTGCAGTGGTCTTGTAGCCCATTCCAGCCTTGTGTAGGTCTACAATCTTGTCCCTGACATCCTTGGAGAGCTCTTTGGTCTTGGCCATGGTTGAGAGTTTGGAATCTAATTGATTGATTGCTTCTGGGGACAGGTGTCTTTCATACAGGTAACAAGCTGAGATTAGGAGCACTCCCTTTAAGAGTGTGCTCCTAATCTCAGCTCGTTACCTGTATAAAAGACACCTGGGAGCCAGAAATCTTTCTGATTGAGAGGGGGTCAAATACCTATTTCTGGATTTTTTTGTTCTTATTCTGTCTCTCACTGTTCAAATAAACCTAACATTAAAATGATAGACTGATCATTTCTTTGTCAGTGGGCAAACGTACAAAATCAGCAGGGGATCAAATACTTTTTTCCCTCACTGTATGTATTCTTTTTTTTATATATACGTGGAGTCATTCGTGAAAATTGACAATTAAAACGCTGCGGACGTTGTAACATCGCGCACAGTTTCCCGCACACGTCAGCGCGGGAAAAACTGCGGACAAGCGGGAAGGTGGCAGTGTGTCTACACGCTGTGTGTCCCTGCACTGGGTTGTGCGCGGCCACTTCCGTTCTCGAGCCTTCGAAACACGTGGGGGGAAACCGGGGGTACACGGAGGAATCCCACACGTGAGAGATGAAGGGGGAAGGGGGCAACGCTCAATCCCCGTAGAGACAGAATATGAAATCCGCTTGCTGTACCGCCATCGTTCCCTGGCAAGCCGGGGGATGGTGACTTCGGCCCCCGCGGGTAGGGAGGGAGTCGCACGTGTTCGTGCGCGCGATCCAGCAACCCTCAGCGCTGCATTGCTGGTCACGTGAAGGATCTCGTCACGGAGCGTAAGCCACCATCACGCCAACTCCGGTCGTCCTCGCAGGAGCGACTTTTGGCCGGCCATTGAACAAAGACGGCTACCGCATCGCGCGCTTTCATTTGCGCTCTCGCGGCTGTCTGGAACACTCATCGTTCCGATCTTTAGATGCCACTGGAGCTATGCACTTTTAAATCATCTAGATTGGACACTCATTCCTTTAGAACTGCTTTTTGTTGTGTTTAGCTGGTTGTCCTTTGCACCGCACCTCCGATGAGCACTGTTGGCTATGTACGGTGCGAAAGAAGTTCAACGTACACACATACATGCCATTAGGGGCCTAGAGGCCACGTGCAGCGTAACCGGCAGCGCCCACGGCGCCCTCCACGTACCCCGGCCGCTCGCCCGCAACAACCCAAGCCCCGTCGTGCCCATGAAGGGCGCCACAGAGGCGAAATGTTAACTACCTCGCCTGGTATACAGGAGGTCGTGGGTTCGATCCCAACCCGGACGCCTGCTGCTGTATATTTGGAGTTTGCGTGACTCTCTCCCTGTGGTCGTGTGGGTTTTTCTCCGGTTCCTCCGGTTTTTCCCTCCACATTTAGACTCGACATCCACGCCTTTAGAGTATATGGCTGCTACAAACATTTCCACGTGATAAGCCTCTTCGTTTGAGTCCATCACTTGTGGTCAGGTCACTTCTGAAAAAGAGCTACATAGCTCAGTGTGGGCCTTATCTGCTAAAGTAAAAAAATAAAACGATACATTTAAATGGGAGGGAGGGAGCGAGTGAGCGGGGATTTCGATCGTAAGCTTCGGCCGTCCCCCCGCTCACCGCCGAACGTGTTGTCTGTTGTCGTTGCAGTGGACGAGTACCTCTCTGTCGCCAAGGAGGTGCACGGGTACAGCACGGAGCAGGTGAGGGTGGCAGTGCGCTCCACGTGCCGTATGTGCGCGCTGTGTGTGTGTGCACGCTGTGTGTGTGTGCGCGCTGTGCGTGTGTGCGCGCTGTGCGTGTGTGTGTGTGCGCGCCGCTTAGGTACGCGAATTATATGAACTCAGCGACCCGAGTTTGATTCCTTCTCATGGCCAACACCGGTGACTGTTAGCTGGACTAATGCTGCGCCTCCCCAAGGCCGACTTGGCCTCAAATGAGTACCCGGTGCGGTGTGTAAACATCACCACTGGGGTGGCAAAGGTGGCCGAGCGTGGCACTGCTTACCCACCCCCTCGTGTGCCGTGCCGATCTTCATAGGTGCTCGCTAAAAGCACTTGGCCCAGCAGCCTCTTAAGGCTATGCTGGGGATCGCTCTGTCTTTGTGCGTGCTGCTTGTGTTGTGTGTGCTGCGTGCGCAGGCCATGTGTACTGTGTGGACTGTATTCTGCAATTAATGAGGGGTCCTTTTTCAGCTTGTGGTATGAGTGAGGTCAAAATTACGAAAGAGAAAATGAACTTTGACCGGAAGACTGTATTCTGCTTCTTGGCCCTGGCACTGCTTATCGGCTCTACCATTTACAGCAGCCTGTCCCATGACTCGAGTCGCAGTTTCAATATCATACATGGAATAGGCGTGCATCATTGGAGAGGTGCGTGGCCGGGGTGTGCTGTGAATGTCGGCCTGCTCCCCGCAATAATCTCTCATCATCATCATCATCACCCTCATCGCCATCGCAATTACATACACCCAAATCGTCTCATAATCTCATAAACCGTGCTCCACTCCCTAAATGTGTTCAACTTTGAATAACAAAGCAGATAAGCGGACAATGTGTTTCCTTCATGTATCTGTCTCTCGACAGAAAACAAATTAAAGTAGTTCTTATGCAACCCATCAACCCCGCGGCCCTCTGGGATTGTATAATTTCAGCAAAATTGATTCAGTTCACGCGAACTCTGGACCAGTTTCGGCATACAGTGTCTCATCAGCAGAGTTGGGCTTGCTTGAACTAACACTGGTTAACCAGCCAGATACTACGGGCAAGGACCCCCCCCCCCCCCCGCCACTTTCAGATACAGCTCCTGTCCCCTCCTCATATAAACTTGCACGTCCCCACCCGTGGTGCCCTCCTGGGTATGGGGCCGTGAGCCCAGGTCTCTCCCCCCATCACCGGGCCCTGTCGCTCCGAAACCCCGGCCTGCTGTTCCGCAGAACCTTTTGTTCCCCGCTTTGTTACCGGGCTCGCGTTGAGCTGTGAAAAAAGAAATGACGACAATGTTCAAAAGCTCGACAACTCTGACGGCCGCGTGACGTCGTGCTCGCCAGGCACTGGGGCTGCTGCTGTGGCACGCGCACAACATCGAGCGCTCGCTCGCCGACATGCCCAACTTCGCTCCGGACGCCGACGAGTGGGGGGAGACGGAGCGGGCCCTCTTCGAGCAGGCGTACGGCTTCCACGGAAAGAGCTTCCACCTCATCCAGCAGATGGTACCGCCCCCAGCCCCCACCCCACCCCCCCCCCCCCTTGTCATCGTCGTCACCATCACCATGCGCAACGGGGATGGATGCACCTTCTCCACCGTCATCATCACACACAGGAAATAAGATTAAACCTCATCCAGCCTTTTGCGCATTATGCAGAAAAAACCATCGGCAGTTCCTCAAGAACTGCATTGCGGGTTCTCTTGTCGAAGGTTACCTATTTGAGCAAATGTGAGACCACCTGATAGCAGCAGCAGCAGCAGCGGCGGCGATGGACAACTGTGGACCGGTTTCGTTCTCATTAGGACTCATCAGCACAGTAGAACAAATCAGAAACGTCTTTCTGGACACCATATATGTGGAGTCCCCCCACATCCACACAAGGGGGGGCCCCATTAGCTCGTCTCATGCTAGCATTAACCACGTCCGTGAAAGAGGAAGCCAGGAGGACCGCAATGGACTTGTTCAGGAAATGCTTCTCGTTTTGTTTACGATGCGCAAAGGCCGCGTTGCCCTTTGCACGCGCGTCCGCGTCGTTTGGAATCACTGGCAGCGCTGTAGATAACCCCCATCCACAGACGCCTTCCCACCGTCGCCGTTCACAAGTTAGCCTGCTCGGCGCGTGTCGCCTCAAGGCCACCAATTGTGGTTCCTCAAGTGTAGACCAGCGGTGATGACGCCGGAGGATGCTCACTTGGCATCGTGGATAATTCCCATGATGCTGTGCAACTTATGAACTGTCATTTTGGGTTCGGTTTAGTGGTAGGGTTGTAACTCACATGACTAGCTTGGGTCAGGGTTCGTGACGTACACGCACAGCCCTTGTTGTCAATCCATTGCTGGATGAGGGCCTCGCCACAACCTGCGGAACATCGAGGTAACTGGACCATACTTCACCACGCTGCTCAGTGCAGGTTGGTGAAGGCGGGGAGGATAGATACTGGAGCACAGTGCAGTACAACGATGATTTTGCAGCGCTTTCCCTCTGCTGAAAACGTGGCACCGCAGCGGCCTCCAGCACTTGCGTTATGCACGGTGGACGCCCATCCGAGCACTACCCAGACTGAGCCCTGCTTAGCTCCCGAGATCTGACAAAGAGGGGACGTTTGCGCGCGGTGTGGTGAGAGGCGCGGTTCGCGTGGTGAGCGTTGTCCGTCGCATCCACGGCGAGCTTGGGCGCCGTTCCGCGACCGTAGCCGGGTCCACAGTTGTCCGTTCGCCACAGTTGATGGACGACGAGCAGCCCTCAATCACCTTGGGCGTTACGGTGGCGAGATGTTAACTACCACGCCTGGTATACTGGAGATCGTGGGTTCGATCCGACCCTGACGCCTGCTGCTGTATGTTTGGAGTTTGCGTTTCTCTCTCCCCGTGGTCGCGTGGATTTTTCTCCGGGTCCTCCGGTTATTCCCCCCACATTTAGAATCAAAATACTTTTATAATATTTGGCTGCTATACATTTCCACGTGATAAGCCACTTCGTTGAGCTATCATTTGTGAGTTTTACACGTAGGCTTTCGCGACCAATATTATTCATAATAAAGGTTTTTGAGTTAGTTAAATGATGACTACACCCTGCTGCTCTATTTAAGACCGGGAGCAAGTGAGGGCTTTACCATTCTGGCGAATTGCCCGATGATGCTGGATGTAATTACCAGCGAAACGTCATACTCAAATTTTAAATGATGTTGATTCACTCTTCCACACACCGGTGGACTAAAGTAGTGAACTATTTGTCCTTTGTAAACGTGACACATTTTTTACTTTTTGGCCGTGTCGGGTGGTGGAGGGTTACGACACGTAAGTAACGCTATCATTTGTGGCCGGGTCACTTCTGGAAAAGAGCTGTATATAGCTCAGTGGGGCTCACCTGGTGAAATCAAAATAGTTTTTAGTTTAGTTTGTCTAAGCACACGCCGCTACTGCTGCGGCTGCTGCACACTCTTTTATTGGCTCACTATCTATGGCTGTGCGACTCGCAGATGGCAGTGAGGTGGTGACTGCCGAGCTTCTCTCTCCCTTAAACGTTTTTTAGCCACTCTTCAGGTCAGGTCACGCCCCCTCGGGGAACATACGTGCATCTCGGAAAGGAGTCTCCCTTTTTCAGACTTTTGGTGAACTTGGCTCATCCTCGTGCCACTTTCTTTTGGATGTAGCGTTCTAAACGAAGCCAACGCATTCACCTCTCTCAATGAATCGTATGATGGCGATGATGATGATGATAATGACAGTGGGTAGTGCAGTGATGCACCCAGCCAAAGGAGGGGGCAAATATAATTTCCTTACCAAGATTGTTTCTGTGCACCTATATGAATGCATGCATATACACACACACACCCAGTGCTTACTTGCGCACGTACGTACATACGTATGTGCACACGGTCACGTTCATTTTGGAGACGGGGGGGGGGGGGGTGGTGGGCAACTGCCCTCTTGACCTCACATGGATGCGACTTTGGCGTACCCCAAGTCTCTAATGCCACTGCTGCTGCTGCTGCCGCTCTCGTTCCCCTCCTGTCGCGTGCCTCATCCCCGGTGGCTCTTCCCGCCTGGCCCCGTCGCGCGTTCCCCTGGAAGCTGCCGGGAAAGTCGATCGGCAGCCTCGTACGTCACTACTACACGTGGAAGCAGACGCGCACGCGCACCAGCGTCATGGACCGCGAGGAGCGCAGGCAGGCGAGCCGGCGGGCGCAGCTGCACAGGTGAAGCGCGGGGAGCACGGCCGGTCGCTCGCCCCCCCTCACCCCCGCCCACTTTACACCCTCGTCATCATCGTTGACATGGCAACATGGCCCACGATTTCACGGTTTGGATATGGTAGGTTCGCCTCTGCTTTTGGCTAACCATCGAAAAAAGACAGACACTGCATTGAGCGCTTTCAGATGCGCTTCTGCGGCCGTCTGGAACGCTCTTCCTTCCGATATTAGGAAGCTGCTGAAGCTATGCACTGAGAAATGATCTGATTTGAAAATTCATTTCTTTAGAACTGCTTTTTTATGTTCAGTTTGTTGTCCTTCTGATTAGCACAGTTGGCTACATGCGGTGGGAAGGAAGTTCAACATACACACATACAATACTGCGGTGCGTGTGTATTGACCATGATGTACGACGCGCCGTGGATAGTAGAGATCCTGAGATGTTGTTCAAATAAAGAGCAGGTCCATTGTGTGCCGGCGTCATGGTCCAAAATTAGAAAAATTACTCGGCAGATTATATGATTAGGAAACGCGCAGAACACATGGCAGATTGTCGCTCCCCACTGTGAAAACTTGGCAGGACCCTCGTGAAAAAGAGTCGTGAGACTCACCGAGGCTTTCTTGGATAAACGAGCAGAATAATAATCACCACTTTTACAAACACCAACATCGCAATCACCAGCACCCAAACTGTCATTGCCAGTAACCACGATTATTACCACCATCATCACCTTCATTACCATCAACACGGTCACCACTGCCACTTAACGTTCTCGACACCGCCGCCACCACCACCGTCACCTTCACCACAACCGTCACTGCCACCGTCATCACTCCCACTGTCACCACGCTCTCCCCGCCGGCAGTGACGAAGAGCTTGACGGAGCGCAAGAGGAGGAGGACGAGGAGGATAATGCCAGCGACAGCGACTACCACCCCTACAAGAAGATGAAGAGGGAAGTAAGTGCGCCCGGCCTCCTCTGACATGGCTGCAATTCCGGTGCGGTCACCGTCAGCTCCGTGTGGCGACTTCGTGACCTCCACCACCGCCGCCATCAGCACAATCCACTTCCCACCCATGTGGCGTGCACGACCAGGAGTCGCGCCCAGGTGGCCGGGTTCGGTAGTGCAGTGCGCGCATAGAGTGCTGCGACGCCGTTTCCCCTGCATGTCGTGCTGTGTCGTAAAAGTTCGCTCGCAAACGACATCCGCTTGAAACAGCCTTCGCAGATCACCTGGGATATGGTCTACCCGTGGATGGGCTGTACTGTCGTCGCTTTGTGCAGACGTGCATTGCAAACGCATGCCTACACACGTGTGCTCATGCAAAGGCATTCACACACGTACTCGTACGCGCGCGTGAACTTACGCGGGCCAGGAGCACCGCCGGCGATCCCGCGCAGGCCGAAGCCGCGCGGTGCAGAGACGGGACGGCCCGCCAGCCTCGCCGCCTCCCAGGCACCGGGCCCACCGCGCCCACCACCACCACCACCACCACTCGGGCCGCGACCGCCGCCACCCACCGCGTCACATGTACCTGGAGCAGTCCGACCTGCAGGTGGTGGTGGCGGCGTGCTGCCCGCCCGCCAGCGACAGCCGTCCCGCCTGCGGGGATGCCCGGCCCGGCGAGGCCGGGGGCGGCGCCACGGCCGTCGGCGCTGTTGGCGCAGGTGGCGCAGGTGGCGCGTCGTCCTCCCTCGCCGTGCGTCTCGACACACAGATCGTGGATCTCAAGAAGCAGGTACCACCGGCGCATCGGGGAGGCCGGTCTAAAACTAAACTACGTAGCAGCAGGCTAATAATCGAAACGCGAGTTTGTTCTAAACGTGGAGGGGCAAAACGGGAGGCACCCGGAGAGAAATCTACGCGACCCACATGGGGAGAGAGAACAGGCGGACTCCAAATATATCTATAAAAACTAAAAAACTTTTTTTCTATTTTAACAGGTAAGGCCCATTTTTCAGAAGTGGCCACAAATGATAGCTCAACGAAATTGCCTTATCGCGTGGAATTTGATAGCACCTTGATTTTAAATGTGGAGGTAAAAACCGGAGGACCCGAAGAACAAACCCTCACGACCCACGGGGCGAGAGAGACACGCAAACCCCAAATACACGGCGGCAGGCGGCGGGGATGGCATCGAACCCACGAACCTCCTGCATACCAGGCGAGGTCGTCAACATCTCGCCACCGCGGCGCCCCTGTCACTGGGCCCCGGCCTGTAACAGCGCAGGACACCTCCCGCCCAGTAGTAGCGGGGCCGTGAGTGTTGGCCTGTCAGTTGTTGCCCTTCCTTGAAGCCCCCCCCCCTTCCGTACCGTACTCCGTAGGCGTTCGCACTCGTGCTGCTGCTGCGATATGGCTCTCTGATGTTGTTTCTTTTTGGATCATACCGCGCAACTGTTTGGCACGATGTCCGGCGTTTCGGTCCACTCCACGTGCCGGGAGCTTCTTCAGGAAGTGACAAAATCGAAGAACTAGCTCCCTGCCGCCACACGGAGCGAAAAGTCAAGACGTTGATTTTGTTTCCGAACGGTGTGCGGTACGTCCCGAGAACACGTCGGGAGGAGAGCCGTTACCGTAGCGTCACATGGGGTGGTGGTGGTGGTGGTGGTTGTGGACCACGGCTTCATGGGCACAGTCTTATGGTGGTCCAACAGACGCCACGTGCTTCAGACGGTCAGGGCGCTCACCTTCATTTGTTAACATTGGGTTCCTGGTAAGGTGGAGTGGTGGTGCAGTGGTTGGCGCACTGCGTTTATGAAGCCAGCGACCGAAATTCGATTCCCATCCACGGCCAACGTCGGTGGCGAGGCGATACCTGAACCGGGTACTGAGCCTACCAAGGTTGACGGTCTTATACGAGTACCTGGTGCTGATACTGCACCAGGTACTTATATGGGGGGGTGGTTCTGACCACAGCACCATGTCGCGTGCTGTTCTGCTATGAATAAGTGCTCATTACCAGCACTTGTCACAGCCTGCAAGGATAAACATAGGATGTTGTCTCTGTGTGCGCGTCTGTGTTCTTGTGTACATACGTGTGGCACAGGCGCAAAAGATGAAGCAGCACAACAGTTCCCTGAAGCAAAAGCTCAAGGATGGGGTGTCGGCTTACCGCCCGCAGGTGCGTGCGTGTGCATTTATACGTGTGTGTGTGTGTGTACAGGTGTGAGCTGGAGTCTACCCAGCACCTCACTCGGAATCCCGAGCAGTAATATGCTGCAGTAATCAATAGGCACTCGCTGACAGCACTTGCCATTACACCCGGTGTCCGTGTGCGTGCTTGCATGCGTGCTTGTGCAGTGGGGAGCAGGAGTGTTGTAGGGACCGGTGGTGCAACGGTTGGCGCACTGCACTACGAACCCTGCAATCCGAGTTCAATTTGCGGCCAACTTCGGTGACGAATAGCTGGACCGGTCCTGGGCCCTCCCCAAGGTCGACTCTGCCTAAAATGAGCACCTGGTGCGGTGTGTAAACATCCGCATTGGGGAGACAAAGGCGGCCGGGCGTGGCGCTGGCTGCGCTACCCCCTCGTGTGCCGTGCAGGCCCTAGTAGGTGCTCGCTAACAGCACTTGCCCCGACAGTCTGTTGTAGTCTACACGGGGCATCTTTGTCTTTGTGAAGCTGGGTGGCTGTGCGTGTAGCGACAGTGGGAGCGGTGGCGCGTTGGTTGGCGCATCGGCGACGGTACCCGAGACGGCACCTAAAAAGTCCGCCCAAGGCCAACACGCGGGAGGATCTTTGTCTTTGTGCGCTGCAGGTGAGTGGCGCCAAAGCAGCAGGATTCCTGACGTCTTCGCGCAGGTGATGGATGAAACGGAAGCCAGGGAGCCGCTGCCCCGCCCCCGCCCCCTGCTGGTGGGGCAGCGTCGCGAGGGGCAGCGTAGAAGTGCCCCACGGTGAGCAGCGTCAGTTCAGAACGCACGGCGGTTTGCGGGGTGGCCCCAGTCGGAGTTCCGCGCGGTCGACCGGTCGCCCGCTGCCCGGTTCTTCACGACTTCCCACTCGCCCCCGTGGCAAGCTCATCGGTACCAAGTCCGACGGCGAGGCAGAGTTTGTGCTGAAGGATGAATAAGAATAAAAAAAAAATTTAATGAATGCGTGCGAAAGAAATCTGTGGAAGAACTGCCCTTCCTCGAAATTTTGATTATACCTAGACATCAACGCTGACGACAAAACTAAACGAAGTAGAGAAATGCACGCATCACCTCCATCGTGCAGAAAAAAACACCGACGCTGCCGCCGCTCGCACAAAACAAACGTCGATCAAAAGGTACTTTGGCACTTGGGCCTATTTCTGACAGCTGTGAAGACGTGGACGTTGTGCAGTCTCGGTGCAGATCTACAGCGGCGGGTCCTCGTCCCCTCCCACCCGGCGTGGGAGTGGGGCCCACCAGCGAACTCTTCTAGCCGAGCGTGGATCCTTTGTCGAGGGCCGGAGCCGAATGAGCTCGGTGAAGGCCCTGGCCTCGGTGTGGGGGGGGGGGGGGTGGCGGAACGGAATGCCCCTTGCGTCCCACGTGATTGCGACCTCGCCCAGCGGCGCGCGAGTTCGCTGCTGGTCGCCGCTCGCTGCTGCGGTCACGGCCGGCGGGGCGCTTGAGAGCTGTGCGCGATACGGTGGCGCTTGTGACCGCGCGCGATGCGGTGACTTCGTTCCCGCAGCGCCACGACCGCACGGCGCTGCGGGAACGAAGTCACCGCAGCGCGTCGCCAGGGTCGCTCTGCACACCAGCGGCAGCAGCAGGCGGCGAGCGGCAAGCGGAGCGCCGCGGTCGTGAGCTCTGGCCTCGTCAGGATTTTAGAAGTTGAAAAGCACCGTTATCTTAACTGCGGCCTCGTGTAGCGTGCGCACGAGCGGAGCGCGTGGCGATATTGTGGACGAGCATTGACTGACGGATACCTAGCAGTGTCGCGCGCACACACACGTACACACGTGTTTGTTTTGCCTGGAGTGAGGTCACCCTGGTGTGTGATGCGCCGCTTATACAGGTCAGACTCTGGACTCAACTTATGGACATTTAGTTCCCAAATATAACACTGACTATAAAATAATTAATATTACCTTTTTTTCACAATTCAGTGTGCTTTAACATATCTTGACTTAAAAAAAATCATTCTCAAATGTCACACTGTGGACATGAACAAACAAAAAAACCTCTGCGTATCATTAAGGTGACGGTGTCATTTACAGAAAAAATTCCTATACCTGTGCTGCCTCATTGGGACGGACGAGTCCATTGATGAACTCCCACCCCTCCCCCACCCGGACGAGTTCATTGTTGAACTCCCCCCCCCCCCACCTGGACGAGTCCATTGTTGACCCCCCCCCCCCGCCGCTTGGCGGATCGTGGTGGAGCATACCACTGTGTTTTTAGGGGTGTCCTGAGTGTGTCACCCGCCCCACCTCTCTCTGTGTGTCTGCGTGCGGTGGTTGACGACCGACAAACCCGCTGCAGTGTGGCCGTGTGGTTGCTGTTGCGCTTGCTCGTTCTGCCGTGCGCGTTCTGCGGGCGCGTGTGCCGTGTTTAGTCCACGTGTGTACTGTCGCGTCCTAACGTACACACGGGTAGCGCGTAACGCCAGCGGTGTAGAGCGGCGCGCGCCCTTGATGGTTTTATGAGTTCGTTGTGGCGAATCCGTGTGTTGTACAGGGGGGTGGTTGAAGATGCGTCGAATCCATAATAAAGGTTTTTTTGGGGGGGTTATATCGCGTAAATGTAGAAATGTGTCGTTAAAACCCGCCACCACCCGACACAGCCAACTGGTAAGGGTTGTCACGTACTACAGAACCTTACCAATTCGTCACTAGTACAGCATCACCGGTGTGTGTTGGAGAGCCAAGCCCACAACATTTACAATCTGAGTACGACGTTTCGCCAGTAATTACAACTAGCTTCATCAGGCGACAGCCAGATTTGTGGAGAAGTCTTACTGTTTCGTTCCTTATATAGAGGCATAGATGTGCTGACCACCCTTCTGCGCTCTTGCACAATGATGGGTGGGTGGGGTGGAGCAGGATTACTGAGGCAACGTACATTATGCATGTGCATTATGCGAGCCCTTTGAACTTGTCCTTCCAAATCATGCGTCGAATGTCAAACGCGTACTTTGAAAACATTCTCCCGTGTTTCGTCGGATGTGTCAAGACGGGAGGCTCCGTTGTTATTGTGCTCGCGTCAGGCGAGCGCAGTCCACGTTTCGGTGTTCTCATTCACGACGGTCGTTGGTGTCGTCGTGTCCTTCGTATTCCTCATTTAAAAAAAAAAAGCGTTCTGATGGCTCGCCGAGTGGCACCCGCACGTGTGTGTGACAGTGTGTGTGTAACAGCGGGGTCCCGTGTCAAGAGTTTCTAACATCGCCGGCTTGGGTGTTGAGGTGCAATAATTAGAATTAGGCAGTTTAATTTGGCTTAAAATACGAGCTGATTCAAATGTGTGGGTTTGCGTAAACAGTTTACGGTGGAAATGTCATTATGATTAGCCGCCAAGCGCCACATCCGATAGAGCCCTCGTGTCATCCGATACAGAAGGTTTGTCTCTTGAATTACATAACCCTCACCTCATCGGTACAAACCCTCATCTGAGCCAGTAATGAACCTTCGTTTCACACAATAAGAAAGTTTTAATCTCTGCCAATGCAGAATCAGTCTCACCCCATGCAGAGCTGCCACCTTACTAAGGTGCTTTCATTTGGTTGGTTTTGTTATCTGTCGTGTAACCCTAAAAACTCCAAGTCTCGATAAATGTCGAGCTTTATGCTTGGGATGTGTTCCCACTTTTAGGGTTAATCCAAAGAAATCCGAAAATGGGCCAAGTGGCCAAATTTACGATGACGATGATGACGCGATGTTGCTCACCGCAATATAAAAACACTTTCATTCATTAACATAACTGCTGCCTAAAAAAATACGTGAAAATTTGTACATTTAAATCGTTAAGTTTCACGCAAAAGCAATGACAATTCTTAAACGTTGATACGTTTAAGTAAAGTACAAAATCATGGCAAGGATTGGTCCAAAAGAGCCGAAAATCCATTATTTGATTTAAAAAAAAACTGGATAATCTGAAACTCATCCCAATTGGTGACTCGTCCAGTCTGGATAGAGGAGGTCAGGGTGCACATTCACCTGCATCGCTGTTGGGGCCACAAACACGTTACACGCACACACTTAGCGGGAGAAGCCCTTTGTGCTGACGCCACCGCCGCCTACACCCCGTTCCTCACAGATCGAGTCATTGACAAATTGATGAAAGCTTGTGTCTAGCCTCTAGAGCTTACTAGAGTGGTTTTTTTTTGTATTGTGTTATGATGTGTTAAAAATAGGTCACATTAAACACGCAAACTTTGTTTCATATTCAGGATCCGATATTCTAATAAATTGGGATGTGAGTAACAGCAGTTGTGTTGGTTTTGTCAGATATATATACCCTGTATATATCGAGGTTCGTGGAGGGTTGATGATCGATGGCCAAGACGAGTGAAGGAATTTCAGGAGGAAAACCAAGAGGATGACCACCGCCAGATGTGCAGCGATGCCCTCGTGGCGAACGAGCGACGAGTGGCTGCTGCTCGTGATGACTCGAGGCTGCTGCTCGTGATGACTCGAGGCTGCGTTGAGCTAGAGTCGCGTGGACCCACCTACCGCTCAGGTGCCGGTGTCCACTGCAGTTGTGATTCGTGGTCCGGAATCGAGCCCAAGTTGTCAGACGGTGGCGCAGTGTGCCCGGCGCTGGGCCACCATTCCACACGAGACCAAAACACTCCGTTATAGCCTTAGCAGGCTGTTGGTGGTGCAAGTGCTGTTCACGAGCACCTATGAAGGCCGGCACGGCACATTAAGGGATGGGTGGCCAGCACCACGCCCGGCCGCCTTTGTCTCCCTTAGTGCCGATCTTTACACACCACACAATGTACTTATTTGCGTCTGAGGTGACCTAGGGTAGGCCCAGGACCGGGTCAGATAATTGTCACTGGTGTGTTGGCCACGGGCGAGAATCGAACTCAGGTCCCCGGGTTCGTAGAACAACGCCGTCGCACAAGTGCTGGAGGATCGTAGTCGCAAAAGTAGCTCCATATGTAGTAGCTACATATATGTAGTAGCTACATATATGTAGTAGCTACTACATATGTAGCAGCTACATATGTAGTAGCTACTACATATATAGTAGCTACGGGACCCGCACTTTCAAGGGGACCGCACTAAATGCTGTCAAGCTATCAATTCCGATCTTGATTTGAAGCTTACGTGACTGCAGGAATCCATACTCTTTGGTTATTTCGGTAAAGTCACGTAGGTAGAAAATAACAATCACGACGTTTCGATCGCAACACAAGCAACCGTCATCAGGCGAGACCAACAGCAGGGGAAATGCTGACAATTCCAGTTCAGCGATTCTGCACTTGCTCTATTACTATAGTACTATACCGCCTTCAACTTTTATGAACGACTGGGTGTTTAAGGTTAGTGGTTTGTCGTATTTATCTGGCTGTATAGCAAATTAAAAAATACAATTACTTTACTGTGCAAGTAAAAAATGTACGTGTTTTAATGTGTTATTTTTATTTAGGGCCCCTTTCTAACATAAGCTACAGGCCCCGCACTAGCTTAATCCGGCACTGCTCTCCACACATGCAATTCCATACGCTGGATTTCACGACCAATATCATTTCTAGTTTATTTTGGATTAGATCGTGGGGGTACAATGTACATTTTAACTGTAACCCTCCATCACCCGACAGTGCCAATCTAATCAAGTCACATGGGCAAAAATGTCAATGGGTTGGCAATTTTAACATTACTCACCCATCAGCCAGTGGCATCGTCACAATCCCACTAACAATAAACAAAACCTCACCCACCCTCATCACTCATCCTCACATCACCCCCCCCCCCCACATCACCCACCCTCACATCACTCACCCTCACATCCCCCCCCCCACATCACCCACCCTCATCACTCGCCCCCACATCACTCACCATCACCCCCCCCCACATCACCCACCCTCACATCACTCACCCCCACATCACCCCCCCCCACACCCCCCCCACATCACCCACCCTCACATCAACCCCCCCACATCACCCACCCCTCTCCCACAGGAAACTCGGTTAATCTCAAAATGGAGCTGGGTGGGGTCGGTGGAGTTGTTACACAGTATTAAGTGACTGTGCGCTTTTTTAACAAAAGCATGACATTTGGCTGGGTTAGGCCAAACATCTTCAGTGAGGGAGTCACACTGAAATAATCCGATGACAGTGGCCATCTTTGCATGTAAATTTAGCCACCAATGCAAACGAATATTCTGTACCCCATTATCTGCTATTCTAACCCCGTGCCCACAAATACTAGAGTATTTGGGGCCAAGACAGCTGATGTGGGGGTCACTACATTTATGGGAGCATCAAGCGTGCAGGACACGGTGGCGAGATGTTATTCCCCTCGCCTGGCATGCAAGAGGTCGTGGGTTCGATCCCGACCGTGACGCCTGTATAATTGGAGTTTGTGTGTCTCTCCCTGTGGTCGTATGGATTTGTTTAAGGTTCCTCCGATTTGTCCCTCCACATTTAGAATCAACATACGTTTAGAGTATTGTATTTGTCTATGTGATAAGCCAATTATCACGTAGCTTGCCGTGAGCGATCATTTGTGGCCAGGTCCCTTCTGAAAAATAGCTATATAATTAGTGGACAGCAGGTTTGAACTCATTGACTTACTAACACAATTTGTTCCAGGGACCCGTTCGTAAGTCTAACGAAAGTTCGTAAGTCGGAACACAATAACATTCTGTATTTAACCGCCCGTACGGTCAGTGTGATGAAATGTGTTACGGTTCAACTAAAAAGGGACGCGTCGTTAAACTCATAAATGATAACAAATATTGTACATTTGCATTATAACGCCGGAAGTAATGACAGGGGACTCAGCTTGCAGTACGAATGCACTAGTGGCCACGGGAGGTAATGACAGGGGAGTCGGCTTGCAGTACGAATGCACTAGTGGCCACGGGAGGTAATGACAGGGGAGTCAGCTTGCAGTACAAACGCACTAGTGGCCACGGGAGGTAATGACAGGGGAGTCGGCTTGCAGTACGAATGCACTAGTGGCCACGGTAAGTAATGACAGGGGAGTCGGCTTGCAGTACGAATGCACTAGTGGCCACGGGAAGTAATGACAGGGGAGTCAGTTGTGAGTACGAATGCACTAGTGGCCACGGGAAATAATGACAGGGGAGTCAGCTTGCAGTACGAATGCACTAGTGGCCACGGGAAGTAATGACAGGGGAGTCAGCTTGCAGTACAAATGCACTAGTGGCCACGGGAAGTAATGACAGGGGAGTCAGCTTGCAGTACAAATGCACTAGTAGCCACGGGAAGTAATGACAGGGGAGTCAGTTGTGAGTGCGAAGGGACTAGTGGCTACGAGAACGATCGAGAAGGGAGCGCGGTCAGGTGACGGAAGAGGACGATGGAGTCTGCCGGTAGAGCAGGCGTCCAGAGTCAGCGAGAATGCTCGAGAAGGGGGCCGTGGCCTCGGTCCGTATATGAGGGAGATGCGCGGGAGACTCGGGGCTGTTGCGGTGGAGGGTCTCCGCCTGTCTGTCAAGTGTCAACGTGTCTTCAATAAAAGTGCCAACTCAAGACAAGTGTGCCAAGTCGCCATGACACCTGCAACGGTATGCGCACGCGCGAGGACAGCCAGCTCCGCCCTCTTTTTTTTAACAGCTCCTCCCCCCGCCCCCTCTCTCTTGGCCCCGCCCACTGTCCCGGGCAGCCCCGCCCTTCGCCGGCACCTTGAGTCGAACACGTGGAGGCTCAAATCTTGACTTAAATCTTTCGTGACTGCAGGAATTCATATTCTTTGGGTCTTTTGGTAAAGTCACGTAGATAGGTTCAAATATAATAACCAAAACATTTATTTGAACCTATCGACGTGACTTTACCGAAAGACCCAAAGAATACGTGGAGGCTCAGATAATAATCATTTTGTACCTGAGACAACCCCCCCCCCCCATCTTTCCAAATGCTTTGGGGCACAGGGGGACTGCCGCCACTAAACCCTGCCAACCTTGAAGAGATCGGTGCTTCTTGCGTCTCAAGATGGCTGTAAAGTTGGTGATTGGCAATGGTTAATGGGTGAGTGGCTGATGCACCCCCGCGAATTTCGTTAATGAGTGAGCGATATGGCCGTGACGCTTGTTAATGGGTGAGTGTGGCTCACGCGCGCGCATGACCGGGCGGGGCGAAGTGGCGACGTTTATGGTCCTCGGTTCTGCTAAAGTGCAGCAGCAGCAGCAGGGCCACTGCGGCTCAAGAGAGACGACCCCCAGGCGCAAGACCACGGGCCTTCTGGCCACGCCGAAGGAGCTACCACCAGCAGCAGAAGGCACCAGCAGCCACCAGCAGCCAGAAGGCACCAGGAGCCACCAGCAATCACCAGGAGCCACCAGCCGCCACCAGGAGCCACCAGCAATCACCAGGAGCCACCAGCCGCCACCAGGAGCCACCATCAATCACCAGGAGCCACCATCAATCACCAGGAGCCACCAGCAATCACCAGGAGCCACGAGATTCCCAGGAGCTGAGCCGGCACCAGCTCACTCCCGCCTTCGTTACCTGACCCGGAGTCATAATGCGACTCGCGTTGGTGCTCTGCGCTCTGCTGGGTAGGTTTGTTTGTGTTTTACGCGCGTGCGCGTGTGTGTGTGTAGTGTGTGTGCGTGTGTGTAGTGTGTGTGTGCAGTGTGTGTGTAGTGTGTGTGTGTAGTGTGTGTGTGCGTGGATTGGGGAGCGATAGTGCAGCGGTTAGCACGCTGCGCTATGAACCTGGCGACCCGGGTTCGATTCCCGCTCACGGCCAACACAAGTGACGATTATCTGAACCGGTCATGGGCCTCCCCTAGATAGACTCAGCCTAAAATGAATATCTGGTGCGGTGTGTAAACATCGCCAATGGGGAGACAAAGGCGGTCCGGAGTGGTGTTGGCCACCCAACCCCTCGTGTGCCGTACCGGCCTTCATAGGTGCTCGCTAACAGCACTTGCCCCTACAGTTTGTCAAGTCTATAAGGGGGATCTTTGTCTTTGTGGATTGGAGAGCGGTGGCGCATCGGTTAGCACAAACGTACGCACCGGTCATCCCCGAGTTTGATCTCCGCACATGGCTAACGTCAGTGGGCGGCGCCGGTTATTTTTTGTTACTTTTAATTAAAATATTTAATCTGGATGGTCATCCTTCCCTTGGGTCGACGCCGCCTGAAGAGTGAGCGCCCGATGCGCTTGGGTAAACGTCAGCGCTGGGGAGACAAAGGCGGCCGGACGTGGAGTTAGCAAAACACCTCCCTCGCGTGTCCTGCCGGCCCTTCATGAGCTTGGCAGCACTTGGCCCACCAGCCGAAAAGAGGCCACGTGGGGCGTCGTCGTCTTCTACGTAATGACGCGTGCGTGTGTGTACTTGTGTGTGTGTGTACTTGTGTGTGTGTGTACTTGTGTGTGTGTGTGTGTACTTGTGCACACACGCCAGGCGTGACTCACGGCTACTTCAGGCAATGGACACGTGACACCAACTTCGGGAACGGCTCCAACTGGGAGGGCGGTCGCCCCCCCTGTGCCGCAGAGCGAGCCATCTTCCCCGCGGACGAGGTGTCCTACATCGGTGGTTGGGCAGGGGTAGTGGGTGGTGGTAGTGGGTGGTGAGTCGTAGTGGGTGGTGGTAGTGGGTGGTGGTGGTGAGTGGTGGTGGGTGGTGGGTGGTGGTGGTGAGTGACGGTGGTGGGTGGCGGTAGTGGGTGGTGGTGAGTGGTGGTAGTGGGTGGTGGTGGCGGTGGGTGGTATTGGGTGGTGGTGAGTGGTGGGTGGTGGTGGTGGTGAGTGACGGTGGTGGGTGGTGGTGGGTGGTATTGGGTGGTGGTGGGTGGTGGTGGTGGTGGGACTACTGCCCCCCCCCCCCCGACGGAGCGTGTTTGAGAGGCGCATTGCACAGCAGCCCACCGTGGGGTGCGTGGCCCCGGGGACAAATTCCACTGTGCCCCCCCCCCAATCACGCCATCGCGCAACGCCTTAAAATTAAACTGCGAAGTACGGGGTGCTTCAAAAAAATGTTTTTTTTAACTTCTCTGAGAATTTGTAACAACACCACGAAGATAGTCACTCTCTGGGCTCTGGTGACCACCTAGAGAAGGTTCCAGAGGCGCGCGTTGACAACGATGGAGACTCTTTGACCTTTTTGAAGCTATTAACGTACAATTTGTTACCATGTTACGGTGCATTATCCGTTCGGTTTCCATTAACGATATACCCATGTAAGTGTTAACATTTTTTTGAAGCACCCTGTACTACATCAAACACCGTGACGTCGAAGCGCGCTCCCCCAACACCACCAAATCGCGGGGCCCGAGGCGGTCGCCACCGATTCGCCATGCACCTAGGGACACGGCTCTGGGGTTGTGGGTGGTGATGATGATGATGATGGTTGTTGGTTGGTCGGTAGAGCAGGGCGCGCGGCATGAGACATGTAAACCTGATGTTAACAACGCACACGCAATGTTAACCGTGCGAAATGCGTAGCATTGTCCATCATCACCATCATCAACGTTACTAACAATTGATCAATTATGTAATGCCCGGACGCGCGCGTTTACAACAGGAACGCGCCTGCGAGCGCGTCTCGGTTGACGGTGACGCCGTTGCGGTCTCGAGACCCCCCCCCCCCACAAGTGGGGGAGCCGCCGAGAGGCGAAGCGCCAGGGGGTTCCGTGAGCGGCCCGCGTCCCTGTGATGAGCTTGGTCAACACGTGTGAATTAATCCGTTGGTATTCATTACAAGCTTAAAATGTCAGTTTAACACGTAGGTTTTCGCGACCAATATCCATAATAGGGGTGGGGTTAGATCGCGATTTACGCGATCTAACCCCAATTACTAGTGCTCTGTCTGGTTATCAATAGTTGCCAATGTCCCCTTGGCTGCAGCGTCTGTTGTTCTAAGACACTGTGTCTGGTCACAAGGTCTATTTCCAGGGCAGTTGCTCATCCCGGAACGATTGTGTAAACCAAAGTATTGACATGTTTAAAGTGTTTAAAGCGACCTCAGCTCAAGACCCTGTAGAGAGACAGTGGGGCGCCGCAGTGGCGAGATGTTAACCACCTCGCCTGGTACGCAGGAGGTCGTGGGTTCGATCCTGACCATGACGCCTGCTGCTGTATATTTGGGGTTTGCGTGTCTCTCTCTCCCCTTGGTCGTGTGGATTTTTCTCCGGGTCCTCCGGGTTTTTCCCTCCACATTTAGAAACATGCGTTTTAGAGTATTTGGCTGCTATAAAATTTCGCGTGATAAGCCACTTCGTTCAGCTATTATTTGTGGCCAGGTCACTTCTGCAAAAAAGAGCTGTATAGCTCAGTGGGCCTTACCTGGAAAAATAAATCAATAATCGTGTTAGCCTCACCAGCTGGTACCCATCCTGCATGTTGATGATAATGAAGTTTCACGGTGGTGATGATTGATAGAGCTTAACGATGACGATGATTGGGGTTATAATCGTAACTGTTTTATTTACCAGGTAAAGCCCACTGAGCTATGAACTATTTTTCAGAGGTGACCTGGCCACACACGATGGTAGCTCACCGAAGTGGCTGATGAATTGATCGTCACAGCGAAATTATCTCAACGTGCGTCGATTCTAAACATGGAACCTGGAGAAAAATACACGCGACCACCACGGAGAGAGAGGGAACGTGCCGATTCCAAATATACAACCACAGGCATCGCCAGGGTCCCGGATCGAACCCGCGACCTACTGCGTATCAGGCGAGGGAGATCTGGCTGCGGTGGCGAGATGTGATGATGATCTATGCCGTTAGGTACACTTTATGGAATTGCCTCTGTTGTTGGGAGATGATTGGGTCCATCTCTGCCTCTAACCCACGTGTCATGCTCTATCCACAGTCGGTCTCGGTGTACGTGGATGGCAGCTTCTCCATACTAGACATGGTAACGCAGCCCACCTCCTCATCCTCCTCTTTTCCTACCCCACATACTCGCCGAACACACACAGACGCACGGAACAAAGACAAAGTCGCCCTGTAAACGTGTATAGCCTACATAGACTGCTGGCGAGTAGCTATTAAATGCCAGCATGGCGCGTATGTTGAGGCTAGCCCTACTTCTGACTGCCTTATTTGAACCGGCCCAGGACCGGTTCAAATAATCGTCACCGGTGTTGGTGGCCGTGAATGGGAATCGAACTCAGGCTAGCCGGGTTTGTAGCACATGGCGCTAAGCTATAAAGGCCGGCACGGCACACGATGGGGTGGGTGGCCAACACCACGCCCGGCCGCCTTTGTCTCCCCCAGTGGCGATGTTTACTACACATTGCACCACGAACTCATTTGAGGCTACGTCATCCTCGGGGAGGCCCAGGACCGATTCAGATCATCATCCCTGGTGTTGGTGGCCGTGAACGGGAATCGAACTCGGGTCGCCGGGTTCGTAGCGCAGTGCGCTAACTGCTGTGCTACTGTTCCCACGTCTGCATACACAACACACACACACAGCACACACTGCATACACAACACACGCACACAGCACACACTGCATACACAACACGCACACAGCACACACTGCATACACAACACGCACACAGCACACACTGCATACACAACACGCACACAGCACACACTGCATACACAACACGCACACAGCACACACTGCATACACAACACACACACACAGCACACACTGCATACACAACACGCACACAGCACACACTGCATACACAACGCACACACACAGCACACACTGCATACACAACGCACACACTGCATACACAACACACGCACACAGCACACACTGCATACACAACACACGCACACAGCACACACTGCATACACAACGCACACACACAGCACACACTGCATACACAACGCACACACTGCATACACAACGCACACACTGCATACACAACGCACGCACACAGCACACACTGCATACACAACACACGCACGCACAGCACACACTGCATACACAACACACAGCACACAGCACGCAGAGGCACTGGCCCACCCACTCGTCGCGCTGCCCTGATTATTCTCTTTCAAATGTCAAGTGTCTGCCCCGTTTAGAAACGCTCGTCTCCGTTCAGTTCACGGACCCATCGAGGAGTTTCCACGTTACGACTCCGCGCGACCCCTGCCTGCTTCCCCCTCCCCCGCCTGCTCCCGAAACCCGGTCAATGATTGAGCCTCATCGCGTGCCGCGCCACCACCACCACTGCCCCCCGTCACGTGCGTGCTTTAATGTGCGCTCGCAAACACAGCGCGTGGCGCCACGGTGCCGATGAGTGAACCCTGCGAGCCACGGGAGGTGGAGGCGAGACCGCTGACGCGCGCATAACCGGAGCCAACGATCACCATTTTGAGCTGAGTCAACCTAGGGGAGGGCCCTAACACAAACGACAAAGATCCCCCCGAAAGCCTTAACAGACTGTAGGGGCAAGTGCCGTTAGCGAGCACCGATGAAGACCGGCGCGGCACACGACGGGGTGGGTGGCCAGCACCACGCCCGACCGCCTTTGTCTCCCCAGTGGCGATGTTTACTACACACCGCACCGGCTACCCGCTTGAGGCTGAGTCGACCTACAATACACACACAGAAACACATATGCAAGCCGACACACATCCTCACTCCAACCCGACCTTTACCCATTATGATGACCTCACCTGCCCCCCCCCACCACCAACAGTACCTGCCGCTGAACTCGGAGCTGATCCTGCAGGAGGGTGCCACCCTGAGTGCCAGTGACGGCCGCAGCGACCCGCAGACGGGATGCGTCGCGGGTACGGGACCTGAATCCCTCTCACAGCCGCCGCGGTCTCCTCCACAACCATCCTCACTGCCGAGTCCTTGGCCCATGTCGAATGGATCACTCACACGGCCTCCGCGTGCTGTCATCACGCTGTCTCTCTCTCTGAGTGCCACTGAGTCGTGCTGTCTCCGCGTTGCCTTCCACGTAGACCCGGCACCGCTGTTGTCTCATGAGTGCTGTCTCTCCATCGCCCATTTTCTCTCCACGCCGTCTCCGTGTCACAGCCGTGCTGCCCCCGAGCTGTCCCCGTGCTGTCTCCATGCCACACACTGCTCTCCCCGTGCTATTCCCATGCTGCCTCCGTGTCACAGCCCTGCTGTCTCCACGCTGTCCCCGTGCCACCCCCGTTCCATCCAGGCGACGCGCACTTCGTGCCGCAGGCCGGGTGGTCGTGGCTGGACGCGCGCCTCTGGGCGACGGCGCGCTCTCGCGACGAGCTGCTGGCCGGGCGGCCGCTGCCCGCTGTGGACGTGGAGCGCGTCCCCTGCGCCGCCGACGACGTCGAATTCCGACCGCTCACCTCCTTCCGCGTGGGCCTCCAGGGGGGACCCTTCCACGCCCGCTCGCTCTCCGTCATGGGACAGGTGCTCGCGAAACGTCGCGCGGTTGGCGGCGGTGGCGGTTCGCGACGGTGAAACCACGACGGGGCTCACCGGTTCGGCGCTTAACTGTTTTCACTTGTTTTTTTTTTGTTTGCATTGTGGTTCATGCAGACATGATTCTTTGTAAAAGGTTTAAGTTTGGTGTTTTAACATCTTAACACAACTGTTTTTTTGCCAGAAAAAAAGGGGGAAAACCTATTGTTATATTTTCACTTAACTATTTTTACTTTTAATCTTGACTGAAAGCTTTCGTGATCGCAAACACAAGCGATGGTCATGTTTTTTTCTTTCTTTCTCCACCTGACGACGATCGCTTGCGTTGCGATCGAAACGTCGTTGTTTTTTTGTAAAGAAAATGTTGAACCCATCTACATGACTTCATTGAAAGACCCCACTTCATTGAAAGACCTCACCTCCTGGAGTTGCAATGATCATGAGAACGGTGAGGAATCAGCCCAGAACTACACGGGAGGATCTTGTCAATGATCTCAAGGCAGCTGGGACCATAGTCACCAAGAAAACAATTGGTAACAGGTAACGCCCACTGAGCTATATAGTTCTTTATTAGAAACCTGGCCACAAATGACAGCTCAACGAAGTGGCTGATCGCACACTCCGACCGCGCGGCCCCTCGCTCTCGCCGCAGAACTTCTCGACGGAGGCGTCTCTGCGGAGCTATTTGCAGAGCCGCTCGGGAAGGCTGCAGTTCCACGGCGGCTCTGTCTCCGTGCAGCCCGACGGGACGTGCCTGGATCCCAGCGGCTGCCTGTGCGGGAACGACCGGGTGAGGGAATCTTGACCTGGCCCGGCTCCCTCCCAACGTTGACACCGACCCCTGCGGGAGCGTTCACCTCCCTTCCCCGTCGACCACTTTACCTCCTCAACTCGGTCGCCTACCCAGCGGGTCCGCTGATCGTCGCAATTCCAGTTCACGGTTCGATTTGAAAATCGAACATTCTGTTTCGTCTCGATCCGTGACTCGTTTGTTCTGTGTTTCGATTGTTCTGTGTCTCGTTTGTCCCATGTCTCGTTTGTCCCATGTCTCGTTTGTCCCATGTCTTGTTTGTCCCGTGTCTCGTTTGTTCCATGTCTCGTTTTCCCCATATCTCGTTTTCCCCATGTCTAGTTTGTCCCATGTCTCGTTTGTCCCATGTCTCGTTTGTCCCATGTCTCGTTTGTCCCATGTCTCGTTTGTCCCATGTCTCGTTTGTCCTATATCTCGTTTGTCCCATGTCTCGTTTGTCCCATGTCTCGTTTGTCCCATGTCTCGTTTGTCCCATGTCTCGTTTGTTCCATGTCTCGTTTGTCCCATGTCTCCTTTGTCCCATGTCTCGTTTGTCCCATGTCTCGTTTGTCCCATGTCTCGTTTGTCCCATGTCTCGTTTGTCCCATGTCTCGTTTGTCCCATGTCTCCTTTGTCCCATGTCTCGTTTGTTCCATGTCTCGTTTGTCCCATGTCTCGTTTGTCCTATATCTCGTTTGTCCCATATCATTGATGCAGTCTTGTCTGCTCCGTTAGCATTATCTGGACGGAGCTTTGAGCGTTATCCTACCTTAAGATTATCTGGGTTCCGCCCACACAAAGCCAAACACTTACTTGAAATTGGCCTAACAACACAATGTAGCAGGACCCTCCTGAAAGTCTGGAGATCCCTAACTATAACACCTATCTCCAGCACGTGTTGGGCATCCAGCCTCTTAAAATTCCTTGCACCACATCTCAGCTCAAATAATTTCAATGCCCAACTGTAGTTTCGAGCCGAAGGGACCCCTTAATCACAGCTGTCCCTGACTGCACAAGTTGACTCGGCACCGGTCTGCAAGTTGGCATTAGTCCGTCAGTATGGGGTGATCAAATAATTTCCGAGCAATTTTTCACTCTTGCCGAATTTGGACCACGACGTCGGCACGCAATGGCTCACCCTCCTTCGAATCACGTCACGGGATCTTGGAATGGCCACGGCGATGCAGACAGCGCATAGTATGTTACGTTTTATACACTCGCGGTGTTAACCAGGGCGGTCGCAGACCCGAACCTCACAAACACTTACAGGCGGCGGCAAACCCGGCCACCGCCCGGCCACCGCCCGGCCACCGCCCGGCCACCACCGCCGCCCCTCGTGCGCCGGAAACTGACCGGCGGCTCTGCCCCAATGTCCTCCCCTCCAGCACAGAGACCACATCTGCTCGCGGCTCTACGGCACAGTGGAGGGGGGAGGCTGGCCGTGCCCCGAGCTCACCTGCCCCACGGGGCTCCTGGCCGAAGGGAACTGCTGCCCTGAGTGCGGTACGTACTCGCGAGGGTCTCGCTCCAGACCAAACTGTCGCAGAGCAACTCTGTGCTTTGCCCTGCATGGATGTATGGCATCGGTTGATGTGTGCACGTGAATTAAATGTGCGTGCGTGCATGTACTTAAAATATATATATTTTACCAGGTAAGGCCCACTGAGCTATATAGCTGTTTTCAGAAGCGACCTGGCCACAAATGATAGCTCAACGAAGTGGCTTATCACGTGGAAATTTTATAGCAGCCAAATACTCTAAACGCGTGTTTCTAAATGTGGAAAAAAATTGGAGGACCCGGAGAAAAATCCACATGACCACGGGGAGAACATGCAAACTCGAAATATACAGGCGTCAGGATCGGAATCGAATCCACGACTTTCTATATACTGTACCAGGCGAGGTAGTTAACATCTCGCCACCGCAAGCCTATGTAATAATACTAATTAACAGCCATTCGTCGATCTACTGCCTGATTTAAGCCACATGCTGGCAATTATTACGAGGCCATAAGAGTGGTCCTTAAAGGCAAAGTCGACCGCGTAACATTGGCGAGGACCTCGCGCCAGCTGGTGCTGGTGGTGATGATACTGAGAGGCCTATGGAGGTTGTGTATTGATGATGATGCTGCTGCTACAGATGCGGGGTTTGAATCCTAGTGAAGGCTTGCCGATGGTGATGCGTTGGTGGCATCGCTGGTATCCGACCTCTTGACCTCGTGATCTCCTCTAAATCTCACAGGTGCATTGATGCGCTTGGAGTACAATGCCAAGTTCGACCTGGAGAATTATCGCAGCCGAATCATTCACAGCTTCCTGGGACTGGTGAGACGAGATCTGATGTTTCAGCTCCATCATCATCATCGTTATTGTCACCACCATCATGATCACCACCATCCTCAACAATAAAATTATTGATTGTTGAATCAAATCTCCATCCTGAATCGTAATAATCGAATCACTGCATGTAGTCAACGTTGTGTTTAACACACGGTCTGCTGTAGTTTCACAGTAAGGCAGACATCTTTGACGTCCAATGTGAAGCAAATTCGAGTTCCAAGTTTCAAATTTGTTTTTACTCAAGAGACCACAATAACCTCGCTTGCAAGAGTGATCTGAGTCACATGACAAAAGCAATACAAACAAAGGAAGCAGATGGCACCCAGTACTTAACGGTTTACGTTCCCGCAGTGTTAATCCGGGACGGCCTAACGGATTCGAACCTTCGCCCCGTGTCTTTTTTTCGATGCTGGCAGGACGAGTTCAGGTTTGTGTGGATGGCCATGTCCAAGGTGCGGGGGGGCGCCGCCGCCGCCGCGATGGCGTCCGGGGGCAGCGGCTGGGCGCGACTCCTGGGCCTGTTCGGCGAGGGCGCCGCGGCGGAGGAGCCGCACGTGCAGCTGCTGCTCACCGGCACAGACGGCGCGTCCGGCTCCACGGACGCCGCCTTCGCCCTCGCCAGGGCCATCGTGGCCGACGTCGACCGCTACGGCACGTGGCGCGCCAACGCGGAACCACACGGCATCGCCGTCGTTAAAACCGCCCCTCTTTGTCAACCGCCGCTGCTCGATGAAAGAGGGGCCTCTCCTCCTCCTTACGCCACCGCCTTGCGGGCCGTGGGGGTTGTTGTTCGGCCGTAACGCGGCCACGCGGGCTCAGTGCGGGGTTCGTGAAGGCGGGGAGCGTGGACGTGGAAGCGCACGGAACGTACAGAACAACAGCCGGATTTCGCCGCAACGCTCTGCTGCTGTGATGTCGATGAAGTCCTTGCCCGGTCATCCGATGGCTGCACAAAAACTCCCATAGAATATCGCGTTTGGTCAGCCCCTCAGAATCCAGCTTATTCCCGGAATGAGCGCTTATTTAAATGTTGGTTTGATTGCGATCACCGCGACAGCAGAGCGTGCGGTGCAAAGGTGCAGCACCTCCTGGAGACGCAATTTGCAGGACCTCCAGACGTAGTTCTGTGGGGTCAACTTTCGCTGATACAGACGTTGATGGTCCTCGCATTACCCTCGACTCGTTTCACCGTTGTGACGGCGCGACGTGGGTACCGCGTGTTCGATGCCATCGAGAGAACCACGTGGTTCCCTTCCGCTACTCCACGTGAGAAGGGGTGAAGTCCCCCAGACGGTGACCGAGAAAGCCCCCGTTAGAGTGTACTTTGGCCTACTCTTCTCCACTGACGAGACGTCTTGGATAGAGGTGGGGAGTACCCACACTTATCTTACGATGGAAGAGTAGGCCAACGTGTTGTGGGTGTACAAAATACACGGCAAGATACAGCGGACGTTTTTCAATGAGGAGTTGGCCATTGTGTGCCAGGCATCATGGTCCAAATTTGCCAAATTTTAAAAGCACTTAACTGGGAAACACCGCAGTAATCGCGCCTTACTACAAAAACTTGGCAGGGACCCTCCTGAAAAAAAACCTTGGGTAAACGAGGCGAATAAAAAAATAACCAATAAGCTGGCAACAAAAAGCATTTGGAGAGAACAAAACAAAAACCTACTTGTCGCGTTTGGAGCTCGCCTCACGCGCGCCCTTCCTCCCTCCGTCCCCGCTCCCCCCCCCCCCACCCCGTGCCGCAGGAGAGAGCTACGGCGTGACGCACGTCACCTTGCGCACCTCGGAGGCCGAGCCCGCTGAGCACGGGGGCTCCCCGGTGGTGCTGGGCATCGTGCTGGGCGCCCTGGCCCTCTTCATCGTCCTCGTGGGCCTCTCCTACGCCGCGTTCACCCGCCGCAAGCGCAGGTCCCGTGGCGCGTTCCCACCGCTCTCGACGCCCCGTCGGTGCGCCGTGCTCGCCGGGTTTCTCGCGCTCGCAAGCCGCTCGAGCACCCAAGCCCACGGACGGCACGGAGCGAACGAGGAACGATGTTAGCGGGGAATGGAACGATATAAACGAGGCGGCGACATTTCCTAGGGAGCCACGCACTTTTAAATCTGGATTGAAAACTCATTTCTTTAGAACTGCTTTCCCTCGCACCTCCGATTAGCACAGTCGGCTAGGTATGGTGCGAAAGAAGCTCAACATACATCTCGTCAAACGGCACCCATGTGCGTGCCGACTGAGAGACACTGAACCCTCCCAGAGGTGCTGATTGCGCTATCGCTCTTATACCAACTTCTGTGATGCACCAAAGGTGGATCTCAATGGGCTCCACCGTGATCCACCACCAGAAAGTTACTACTCAACAATTACCCGGGTGTATTGAGCCCCCTAATACAGTGTCCTTCATTGTGTGAAGAAGACCTGACGCACTTCTCTTGAGATATCTCTTTATTGAAGACACGTACACCCTCCACTGCAACAGCCCCGAGTCACCCGTGCATCTCCCTCATATACGGACCGAGGCCACGCCGCCCTTCTTGATCATTCTCGCTGACTCTGGACGCCTGCTCTACCGGCAGACTCCATCGTCCTCTTCCGTCACCTGACTGTGCTCCCTTCTCAATCATTCCCGTAGCCACCAGTCCCTTCGCACTCACAGGATGATACCCCTGTCATTACCTCCCGTGGCCACTACTGCATTCGCACTGTAGGCTGACACCCCTGTCATTACCTCCCGTGGCCACTAGTGCATTCGTACTGTAGGCTGACTCCCCTGTCATTACCTCCCGTGGCCACTAGTGCATTCGTACTGTAGGCTGACTCCCCTGTCATTACCTCCCGTGGCCACTAATGCATTCGCACTGTAGGCTGACACCCCTGTCATTACTTCCCGTGGCCACTAGTGCATTCGTACTGTAGGCTGACTCCCCTGTCATTACCTCCCGTGGCCACTAGTCCATTCGCACTCTAGGCTGACTCCCCTGTAAATACCTCCCGTGGCCACTACTGCATTCGCACTGTAGGCTGACTCCCCTGTCATTACCTCCCGTGGCCACTAGTCCATTCCCACTATAGGCTGACTCCCCTGTCATTACCTCCCGTTGCCACTAGTGCATTCGCACTGTAGGCTGACACCCCTGTCATTACCTCCCGTGGCCGCTAATGCATTCGTACTGTAGGCTGACTCCCCTGTCATTACCTCCCGTGGCCACTAGTCCATTCACACTGTAGGCTGACTCCCCTGTCATTACCTCCCGTAGCCACTAGTCCATTCGCACTGTAGGCTGACTCCCCTGTCATTACCTCCCGTGGCCACTACTGCATTCGCACTGTAGGCTGACTCCCCTGTCATTACCTCCCGTGGCCACTAGTCCATTCACACGGTAGGCTGACTCCCCTGTCATTACCTCCCGTGGCCACTAGTCCATTCGCACTGTAGGCTGACTCCCCTGTCATTACCTCCCGTGGCCACTAGTTCATTCCCACTATAGGCTGACTCCCCTGTCATTACCTCCCGTGGCCACTACTGCATTCGCACTGTAGGCTGACACCCCTGTCATACCTCCCGTGGCTACTAGTGCATTCGTACTGTAGGCTGACTCCCCTGTCATCACCTCCCATGGCCACTAGTCCATTCACACTGTAGGCTGACTCCCCTGTCATTACCTCCCGTGGCCACTAGTCCATTCGCACTGTAGGCTGACTCCCCTGTCATTACCTCCCGTGGCCACTAGTTCATTCCCACTATAGGCTGACTCCCCTGTCATTACCTCCCGTGGCCACTAGTCCATTCGCACTATAGGCTGACTCCCCTGTCATTACCTCCCGTGGCCGCTAGTCCACTCACACCGCATGGCGACTCTGCTGTCATTGCAATTGCAAGGCCCGTGGGCCACTGGCAGCCCCTGGTAGCCTTTCGTGCGGCACCCTGACGAGTGGCTCCCGACAATACACGAATGTGAAAACCCCCATCGTGCTGTCAAACCCAATTATTTCCAATGTGTGGCGGCCCTCTTATCGGTGAAAGTGCCCTGCCCCCCCCCACCTCCTCTGAAAATGAGTACTAGCAACCACCTATTGGTAGAAGTTGTTACATTTGAGCATGATTTCTTGGGGATTTTTATTTGCCGTCAGCTCTGACGGAAAGTGTCGTGTGGTTATGATGCTAAGAGTTTGTCTTAATTTGTCGTGAGATGGATCCGAAAATATTTTGCGATCCACCCGTGGGTCACCTGTGGATCGCGATCCACGTTATGAGACGAAAGCATTTCCACTCGGAGCTATCGATGCTTCACCCTGTGTCGGGGAAGGGCCCTGGAAGATCACGTCGCGGAACTAATTCTGAGGCCGCTTCAACAGCAGTCCTCTTTACATTCACACGAGGGGCGCACCAATAACGCCCGACAGCGAGTGCGCGTTGCGTGGCTGTCGAGCCAAGAAGTTTGAACTCTCAAGTGCTGGAATTCCGACAAATTGAAATCCATTTGGCTGAGACCATCAGCTCACTAGGCTCGAGAACCCCGTTTAATCACGGGTAGTTGCCTGGATTTGAACTCTGGTTCTTGACCTTGCCAGCTCAGCGCTCTGACTGGGTTCAGGGGCTTCTACACCAGCCCCTGGACTCAATTTCCTCGCACGCATTCCTCTCGCTCTCTCACCCCCCTCTCTCACCCCCCCCCTCTCCCACCCCAGGTCGCAGCAGGCGGAGCTGAGTGAGGGTGAGGTCAGCCAGGGGGCGGGTGAGGCCCCCGGGGGGCAGCTCGGGCTCTGGGCGAGACTCTCGGCCGCCCTGGGCAGGAGTCCACAGCCGGGGGCTGGGGACGGATTCGAAAACCCCATGTTTGATACCCCCATGCAGAAGGTACCATCCCTCCCACAACCCCCACACCACCCACACCCCCCCACACCTCCAAGACCCCCCACACACCCCCACACCCCACCACACTCCCCAAATCCCCCACACCCCCCACACACCCCCCATGCAGAAGAACAAATTCAGCTTCATCATTGCCTACATTATAATCAGTTCCATCATTATCATCAGCGCTGCCAGCGATGCAACATCAAGATCGTCATCACAAGCAGCGGCGGTAGCGTCTTGCCTGCAAGACTGGTAGAGTGTAATCGATGTCTGTCGTAACCGACTGCAATAGTCTGCCATGCTGTAGTCATTGTCCGAGTTGTGGTTTAAATCACAGTGCTGCCCTCTGCAGTGTGAACACTCAAAGTGACTCCCATCATACAACGGTCTCCCATCTCCACGCGCTGCCAATGTCCCATGTTCTAGTTTCCCCGTGTCCCCATGTCCCATGTTCTAGTTTCCCCGTGTCCCTGTGTCCCCATGTTCTAGTTTCCCCGTGTCCCTGTGTCTCACGTCCCCACGTGCCATGTCCCCGCAGGGTCTGTACGGCCTCTACTCCGAAGAGAACGTGGAGCCCACGGCTCCCCGTGTCAGCGGGACGTGCTTCACCAACCCCGTGTACGCGGAGAGTGAGGCGCATTAGGCCGATCTGTCCCGACCCGACCTCACCCCACCGGACCTGACCATGCTCAGCTTTTTTGCCGATCAGTCCCAACCTGCACGACGCAACCCAATCTGACCCTGATCTGACCCCCTACCCAGTCCGAACTGACCCTACCCAGTCCAATCTGACCCTATCCAGTCCGAACTGACTCTACCCAGTCCGATCTGACCCCACCCAGTCCGAACTGACCCTACCCAGTCCGAACTGACCCTACCCAGTCCGAACTGACCCTATCCAGTCCGATCTGACCCTACCCAGTCCGAACTGACCCTACCCAGTCCGAACTGACCCCCTACCCAGTCTGAACTGACCCTACCCAGTCCGATCTGACCCTACCCAGTCCGATCTGACCCTACCCAGTCCGAACTGACCCCCTACCCAGTCCGAACTGACCCTACCCAGTCCGAACTGACCCCCTACCCAGTCTGATCTGACCCCCTACCCAGTCCGATCTGACCCCCTACCCAGTCCGATCTGACCCCCTACCCAGTCCGATCTGACCCTACCCAGTCCGAACTGACCCTACCCAGTCCGATCTGACCCTACCCAGTCCGAACTGACCCTACCCAGTCCGAATTGACCCTACCCAGTCCAAACTGACCCCCTACCCAGTCTGATCTGACCCCCTACCCAGTCCGATCTGACCCTACCCAGTCCGATCTGACCCTACCCAGTCCGATCTGACCCTACCCAGTCCGAACTGACCCTACCCAGTCCGATCTGACCCTACCCAGTCCGAACTGACCCCCTACCCAGTCCGAACTGACCCTACCCAGTCCGAACTGACCCTACCCAGTCCGAACTGACCCTACCCAGTCCGAACTGACCCTACCCAGTCCGAACTGACCCTACCCAGTCCGAACTGACCCCCTACACAGTCCGAACTGACCCCCTACCCAGTCCGAACTGACCCCCTACCCAGTCCGAACTGACCCCCTACACAGTCCGAACTGACCCCCTACCCAGTCCGAACTGACCCTACCCAAGAAAAGCCGCAGTGTGGTCTCCGAGCCCAAACCATGGATCCTACCGTATGTACGACTCTGCCCATTTCCATCGTTCACCGGAGGACCTGGGATGTGTTCGCTACGTGGCTGCTCCTGGAGCCGTCCACTGGCTCACTCACCAAACCTCCGTATGAACATAGAGACACCGCCCATCAACGACCCCACACCGTGCGAGAGAAAAATTTCAACCCATCCCTTACCCGACCCTGTCCAGTGTGACCTGACCGGTGCCGTAGCCACGCGTTCGGCACGGGCCCTAGTGCAAGAGATGAATCTGCGCCTTCCCATTCAATTTCGCTCCCTCGTCGTAGCCCGGCGCCTGGGCTCCCTGCAGCCTGTGGGCTCTGACACCGGCACACTCGATGGCTCCGCTACTGGACCCGACCCAATCCAGCTCGACCCAGCTCGCGTGCGATTCAGCGCAAGGGACCGAAGAAGTTTACACGCCACGAGTGATGATTGCAGCACCAGTATTTACCTGATCGTGCTAGGGAGCACACCACACTTGTGCGCAGTAACACGTGATATATCCTTGATCCCGTGCGTGTGTCTTTCAAGAGATATTTTACCGACGCTCATTCATATTTTAATTTATCGGTGGGATTACCTCGATTGCAACGTTAGTCTCCAACACCGGTCTTTGATGAAGGAAACATTTGTTTGCAAAATGTATTTTTTTCTACACGTTTCATCTCCAAATGAGAAAGTGAAATCAAGTCCTAACTAAACCACTGAGATGGCTTGCTGTACCTTTCCAAGTGCCTCGTTGGTGTGGTTATATTTTTAAAGCCAGGAAATTTTGGTGATGGCTCATGCGATATCGAAGGCATATAGGATCCAGTGCCGGATTAAGCTAGTGCGGGGCCTGTAGCACATGTTATAAAGGGGCCCTAAATTTATTTTTTTAAAACACACAAATATTAAAACACAAATGTTTTACCTGCATAGTAAAATAATTGTATTTTTTCATTTGCTATACAGCCAGATAATAAAACAAATGGCTAACCTTAAACACCCAGTCGTTCATAAAAGTTGAAGGTGGTATAGTACTATAGTAATAGAGCAAGTGCAGAATCACTGAACCGGAATTGATAGCTTGAAAGCATTTAGCGCGGGGCCCTTGAAAGTGCGGGGCCCGTAGCATTATGTAGCTACTTTTGCTATGAGGATAATCCGGCACTGATAGAATCTGGGTTATTTCCATGTAATGGCTGAGTGGGTGAGGCTTAGTCGGCCAAACTTAAATGGAGGGTTTGGCCTAGTGTAATTTAATTCAAGGATTGGGGTCAATGTTAAAGCGATTGACTATGAATGTCGTTAACCCAAGAAAGCCTCAAGATATCCCAGGAGGAGGCACTTGCACTGGGACGTTTGGCTCATTTCATTCTCAGGATTATTTGGCATCTCTGCTTACCCGGTATCCGTGCTGTCGAGATGAGGCCTGGAGCAGCGGTCACCCAACATTTTTTCTGAGACACGCGCACCGTCATTGTCACCTTCGCCCACCACCTTCCACCAAAATCACAGGTTCCAAAATGAAAACGACTGAAAAAGCGCTGCGGAAATGTCGATTAAAAAATCCCATTGAAAACAATGAACTTCCTTTTGTATTGCCGGAGCAGTGAAAATGTTTATTATTAAAATCTGGTGTCCTGTGATGATCATGGGGACTGCGACAGTTGCCACGGCCGTGCGGAGCACCCCCCGGTTACGTCCCCCTCGCGCCCAGGCCGCGTGCGGGCCTCGTGTCCAACCGAGAACGAAGATTTCCCGGCAGCGGCGGCGTCCTCTGTAATTTGCAGGACGGTTTGGGCGGCGGTGGCGGGGAGGGGGGCAAGTCTGGTTGTGTGGGGGAGGGGGCGGGGTGCACGGGGGAGGGAAATGGGGGGGGAAGAGGAAGTCACGCGAGCAGTGGCCGAGCCATTTCCTGATGTCAATCGGATCCCTGCCGGGCGCGTTCTGCGTTATAACGGGCGCGTTCTGCGTTATAATGGGCGCGTTCTGCGTTATAACGGGCGCGTCGTGTGTTATAACGGGCGCGTTCTGCGTTATAACGGGCGCGTCGTGTGTTATAACGGGCGCGTCGTGTGTTATAACGGGCGCGTCGTGTGTTATAACGGGCGCGTCGTGTGTTATAACGGGCGCGTTCTGCGTTATAACAGGCGCATCGTGTGTTATAACGGGCGCGTTCTGCGTTATAACGGGCGCGTCGTGTGTTATAACGGGCGCGTCGTGTGTTATAACGGGCGCGTTCTGCGTTATAACGGGCGCGTCGTGCGTTATGTGAAAGGTGTTCCCGAATGGAAGTACCGCGTTATAACACGTGTTAAGCGATGACTTACTGTGTTTGTGGCAACGAAATCTGGGTTTGTCTTTTAGCACTCGCCATAGGAATGTGGAATGTCCACCACTGGCTCACGTGCCTAGACAGGAGACGAATGCCGCACATACTCCTTGAATAGATCACATTCCTCCTGAGAACACATCATGAGTTAATCGTCAGCATGGACAAGTAAAACATTTTCAACCTCGTGTAAATCCACTGCTGGATGAAGGCCTCTCCGAGCCCTGACCATTTCCAATACCACTCGCCACTGATGGTAGCCGTGACCCCGGCATCAAACCCATGTTGCCAGGTTCATAGTGCAGTGCGCTAACCACTGCTCCACCGCTCCATCCCCAGCGTGGAACACGCTCGGCCCACCATGCCACGCACACATTTTTTTTTTACCCAACCTCGGTCTCTCCACGTGGGAATTCAACATCTTAAAGTCCATCAGCATCTGGGCTTTCCAGCTCAATGATACCCACGAGTATTTGTTTCAACAGCGAATGCTGGCGGTCGAGAAGTGGCCCCAAAGGGCCAAACAGCAACAATGTGGACTCCACCTGCTCCGTCTGTAATGGCTCAAGTGCGGCGGCAGCGGCGGCGGCGGGGCAATGTAACAAGTTGACATTGTTTTAGCGCAACAGTTGCTGGATCGGTTTCTATCTTTTGGGGACTCATCAGCATAGTTAGGCATGTTTAAATAAAAAAAAGTGTTTACTTTCCGGATGGTAGTGGCGGGAGTGTTCCACACACGGTGAGACCTGTTTGGTATAACAACAACAAAAACATCACGGAGGCGATCTCTCTGCCTCTAAACAGATTCATCGAATCGCCTGGAATAGCGACAATTAGTATAGTTTACGCACATTGTTCACCTAAGAAAGGTAACGAGTGCAGGACGTTTGGTTATATAATTGCTGTCAAAGCGGAATTACGGAGTTTCCAACACGGGGCGGTGACGATGACGGACGCGCTTTGCTACGTCAATAGCTGCGCGATGATCGCAGAGGAAATGTGTTGAAATGGGCCATCATCCTTCAGAGGTCTCCACCAATCAGAAACAATCATTCTCGTGCCACGAAGAAGGGCCATCGCCTGAGAGGCAGTGTTGTTGATACGCGTGGGTCCGCTCCTCCAGATCAACAACACACAACAAACACCACGTGGCAGTGTGGAGGCGCTGCTGCTGTTCGTGTTGCTCAGCCGTGTTCTGCGCTCGACGTTTTTGCTTCTTGGGGTTTCTCAGTGCAACGAGAAAACCGAGTATCTCTCGTCGCGAATGAGCAACTTCCTCCTTGCCTCCACCGCTCCCTCCATCCCTTCCCTGCACCTTCCCCTACCTCCCTCCAGCATCCCCTCCCTCCCGAACAGCCGCCGCCGCCGCCAACACTAATCCGGCACAGCTCGCTGCTCCCGATCGTGGCTGGGGATTCCCCCATCATGACGGGTCGTGGCTGGGGATTCCCCCATCATGACGGGTAGTGGCTGGGAATTCCCCCATCATGACGGGTCGTGGCTAGGGATTCCCCCATCATGACGGGTCGTGGCTGGGAATTCCCCCATCATGACGGGTCGTGGCTGGGGATTCCCCCATCATGACGGGTCGTGGCTAGGGATTCCCCCATCATGACGGGTCGTGGCTAGGGATTCCCCCATCATGACGGGTCGTGGCTGGGAATTCCCCCATCATGACGGGTCGTGGCTAGGGATTCTCCCATCATGACGGGTCGTGGCTGGGAATTCCCCCATCATGACGGGTCGTGGCTGGGAATTCCTCGATCATGACGGGTCGTGGCTGGGAATTTCCCCATCACGACACACCGCGCGCAACCGCGTGCTTTCCCGTTCCGCCGATTGACGATGCCCGGTCCCGCTATAAAACCGCGGCGTTCGCGCTCAGAGGGAACAGACAAACGCAAGCGAGACACTCGGCACGGGCGCGCAAGAGCCCCACGCCGCACCAGCCGCGCCACGCCCTCATCCCCGAGCTGCAGGGCGAAGCCATCGACGACCATGGGAACGCTGAACGGGAGGCGGCACCGTGGAGCCGACGCGTTCCTCATGGCGCTCATTGGGTGCCTGTTGGGGTTCGGGCTGAGCGAGGGACCGGGGGCCGCGCGTGTGCGTCCAAGTGCTGGCCCTGGCAGTGGGCCGATTGTCGGTCCAGGCGATGGCCCGGATACCGACCTCTCAAGCGCGGCGCTCAACCTCATGGGTCGGGGCCTGACGCGCTTCCCTTCGGATCTGCCCTTGGGCACCGTCGACGTTCTGCTCTCCTTCAACAGCATCTCTCGCCTCTCCGCCGCATCCTCGCCACCGGCACCCGCGCCCCGCCTGCGCACGCTTCTGCTGGGCTCTCAGACGGGACCTCGGGGCCTCTCTGTGGAGCGCAGCGCGTTCCTCAACGCGCCCGGCCTGCGCGCCCTGGACCTGGGCGGTAACTCGGGCCTGCGTCTCGAGGAAGAAGCTCTCGAGGGGCTGACGGAGCTGCGCTCGCTCAGCCTCGACCACTGCAACCTCGGGGACGATGTCCTAGCGGGGCCTCTGCTCGGCCCAGCCGCGTCTCTGGAGAGACTCGACCTGAGCGGGAACCTCCTCCGCCACGTGCGCGTGGGCGCGTGGGCGCTGCGCCACTTCGCCTCCTCGCTGCGCCACCTCAACCTGAAGCGCAACCACCTCGAGCAGATCTGCGCGGGGGACCTGGACAACCTGAGCGGCGCCAGGCTCCAGGTCCTCGATCTCTCGTCCAACCGGCGTCTGTACGACGCGGCCGGCTTCGACTGGGCTTCCTGCGGGAACCCCCTGGCCAACGTGAGCGTGGAGACCCTGGACATCTCCTCCACGGGGATGGGCAGCGGCCGGGGGGATCAGCTCGGGGGCCTCGCCGCGTTCTTCGGCGCTGTGCGCGGCGCGGCGATCCGCGCGCTCGTCATGAGGAGGATGAGCGGATTCGGTCGCTCCCTGGGCTTCAGGAACTTCCACGACCCGGGCCCCGGATTCTTCAAGCCACTCGGCCAGTCGGGCCTCCTGAGTCTGGACGCGTCCCACAACCGCGTGGTCACACTGAGGGCCTCGCTCTTCGCGGGCCTCCGCGACCTCCGCGTGCTGGACCTGAGCTTCAACATGATCCAGGAGATCGAGGCGGGCGCTTTCACGGGCCTCCAGAGCCTACAGGAGCTGCGCCTGTCGCACAACGCCCTCGGCTTCCTCTCCACCGATGCCCTCTCCAGCCTGGAGGGCAGCCGTCACTCCTTGCGTTCACTCGACCTGAGCCGAAACTTCCTGGGCGCCGTGCAGGGCGGCGCGCTGTCCCTGTTGGGCGCGCTCACGGCGCTCAACCTCAGCGACAACGCCCTCTCCGAGGTGCCCGTCGCCTCCCTGCCGCGCCTCGCGTCGCTGGCGCTCGACAGGAACCGGCTGCGAAACGCGTGGGGAGTGGAGCGCATCTCGGCCGAGCTGGCGCTGCTGAACTTGTCCTCCAACAGGGTGGAGAACGTGGGCGAGCTGTGGAGGGTGGCGCGCCTACCCAGGCTGCGCGTGCTGTCGCTGGCGCGCAACCCGATGTCTCAATGTCATCCCCAGGGCAGCGCCGCCACCACCACCACCACCACGTCCGTCAGCAGCAGCAGCAACAGCAGCCTGCGTATCCTGGACCTGTCCCACACGCCGGGGCTGGGTGTCGCGCTCAGCAGCAGCCGCGGTGCCTGCGACTTCCCTTTCCGCGCGATGAGCTCCCTGCGCGTTTTGTTGCTGGGCCACAGCGGGCTCAGCTCCCTGCCAAATGGCTTCCTGGAGGGACTCGGCGCCCTGTCTCACCTGAATCTGGCCGGCAACCGACTCCAGCGCCTGTCCCCCGGCGCCCTGCAGCAACTGGGCTCTTTGGAGACGTTGGACGTGTCCGATAACCGGCTGAGCGCCATCGGAGTCGCCACGGAGCCGCAGGCGGCGTCTGCCCTGCCGGCGCGTACAAAGATACGGCTGGGAGATAACCCCTTCCACTGCGACTGCGAGCTCCTGCAGGATGCCCTGGGGGTAGGGGGCGACGCCCTGCAAGCGCTGCTGCAGGGACGCGGGGAGGGCGCCCCGCGCTGCGCCTCCCCGCGCCGATACGAGGGACAAACTGTGCGCACCGCTATGCGCCACGGGAATTGCACCGTGGCTCACCACGACGCCCTACAGTGATTCTTATAGACAGGGATCTCAGTGGCACCACGAGGCCCTGCAGTGATTCTTAGAGACAGAGATCTCAGTGACACCACGACGCCCTGCAGTAATTCTTAGAGACAGGGATCTCAGTGGCACCACGACGCCCTGCAGTGATTCTTAGAGACAGGGATCTCAGTGGCACCACGACGCCCTGCAGTGATTCTTAGAGACAGGGATCTCAGTGGCAACACGACGCCCTGCAGTGATTCTTAGAGACAGAGATCTCAGTGGCACCACGACGCCCTGCAGTGATCCTTAGAGACAGGGATCTCAGTGGCACCACGACGTCCTGCAGTGATTCTTAGAGACAGGGATCTCAGTGGCACCACGACGCCCTGCAGTGATTCTTAGAGACAGGGATCTCAGTTGCACCAAGACGCCCTGCAGTGATTCTTAGAGACAGGGATCTCGCGATGGTAACACAGTGAGAGCCCCTATCTGGGCTGTTTTTGTTGTATTTTAATGATTTGTAGAACGCATGCTGATTTCAGACGACCGCATGGGTGTGTGCTGCACAGCTCTCACGTGAATGCCGCGTGTTGTTTCTGAGGCAGCTTCCAGCACGGGCGAGAGTTAGGGCTAGAGTTAGTGTTAGAGCTAGGGCTAGAGTTAGTGTTAGGGCTAGGGCTAGAGTTAGTGTTAGGGCTAGGGCTAGAGTAGGTTAGGGCTAGAGTTAGTGTTAGGCTAGGGCTAGGTTTTACTAGAGTTAGTGTTAGGGCTAGGGCTAGAGTTAGTGTTAGGGCTAGAGTTAGTGTTAGGGCTAGGGCTATTGTTAGGGCTAGAGTTAGTGTTAGAGCTAGAGTTAGTGTTAGAGTTAGGGCTAGAGCTAGTGTTAGGGCTAGAGTTAGTGTTAGAGCTAGAGTTAGTGTTAGAGTTAGGGCTAGAGTTAGTGTTAGGGCTAGAGTTAGTGTTAGGGCTAGAGTTAGTGTTAGGGCTAGAGTTAATGTTAGGGCTAGAGTTAGTGTTAGGGCTAGAGCTAGTGTTAGGGCTAGAGTTAGTGTTAGAGCTAGAGTTAGTGTTAGAGTTAGGGCTAGAGCTAGTGTTAGGGCTAGAGTTAGTGTTAGAGCTAGAGTTAGTGTTAGAGTTAGGGCTAGAGTTAGTGTTAGGGCTAGAGTTAGTGTTAGGGCTAGAGTTAGTGTTAGAGTTAGGGCTAGAGTTAGTGTTAGGGCTAGAGCTAGTGTTAGGGCTAGAGTTAGTGTTAGGGCTAGGGCTAGAGTTAGTGTTAGGCCTAGGGCTAGAGTTAGTGTTAGGGCTAGAGCTAGTGTTAGGGCTAGAGTTAGTGTTAGGGCTAGAATTCGTGTTAGGGCTAGAGTTCGTGTTAGGGCTAGAGTTAGTGTTAGGGCTAGAGTTAGTGTTAGGGCTAGAGTTAGTGTTACGGCTAGAGTTAGTGTTAGGGCTAGAGCTAGTGTTAGTGCTAGAGTTAGTGTTAGAGCTAGAGTTTGTGTTAGAGTTAGGGCTAGAGCTAGTGTTAGGGCTAGAGTTAGTGTTAGAGCTAGAGTTAGTGTTAGGGCTAGAGCTAGTGTTAGGGCTAGAGCTAGTGTTAGGGCTAGAGTTAGTGTTAGGGCTAGAGCTAGTGTTAGGGCTAGAGTTAGTGTTAGAGCTAGAGTTAGTGTTAGAGTTAGGGCTAGAGTTAGTGTTAGGGCTAGAGCTAGTGTTAGGGCTAGAGTTAGTGTTAGAGCTAGAGTCAGTGTTAGAGCTAGGGCTAGAGCTAGAGTTAGAGCTAGTGTTAGAGCTAGAGCTCGGGTTAGAGTTAGTGTTAGAGCTAGGGATAGAGTTAGTGTTAGAGCTAGGGCTAGCGTTAGTGTTAGAGCTCTGGCTAGAGTTAGTGTTAGAGCTCGGGTTAGAGTTAGGGCTAGAGTTAGTGTTAGAGCTAGGGCTAGAGTTAGAGCTATGGCTAGAGTTAGTGTTAGAGCTAGGCTAGAGTTAGTGTTAGAGTTAGGGCTAGAGTTAGTGTTAGAGCTAGGGCTAGAGTTAGGGCTAGAGTTAGTGTTAGAGCTCGGGTTAGAGTTAGTGTTAGAATTAGGGCTAGAGTTAGGGCTAGAGTTAGTGTTAGAATTAGGGCTAGAGTTAGAGCTATGGCTAGAGTTAGTGTTAGGGCTAGGGCTAGAGTTAGTGTTAGGGCTAGAGTTAGTGTTAGGGCTAGAGTTAGTGTTAGGGCTAGAATTCGTGTTAGGGCTAGAGTTCGTGTTAGGGCTAGAGTTAGTGTTAGGGCTAGAGTTAGTGTTACGGCTAGAGTTAGTGTTAGGGCTAGATCTAGTGTTAGTGCTAGAGTTAGTGTTAGAGCTAGAGTTAGTGTTAGAGTTAGGGCTAGAGCTAGTGTTAGGGCTAGAGTTAGTGTTAGAGCTAGAGTTAGTGTTAGAGTTAGGGCTAGAGTTAGTGTTAGGGCTAGAGTTAGTGTTAGGGCTAGAGTTAGTGTTAGGGCTAGAGCTAGTGTTAGGGCTAGAGTTAGTGTTAGGGCTAGAGTTAGTGTTAGGGCTAGAGCTAGTGTTAGGGCTAGAGTTAGTGTTAGAGCTAGAGTTAGTGTTAGAGTTAGGGCTAGAGTTAGTGTTAGGGCTAGAGCTAGTGTTAGGGCTAGAGTTAGTGTTAGAGCTAGAGTCAGTGTTAGAGCTAGGGCTAGAGCTAGAGTTAGAGCTAGGGCTAGCGTTAGTGTTAGAGCTGGGGCTAGAGTTAGTGTTAGAGCTCGGGTTAGAGTTAGGGCTAGAGTTAGTGTTAGAGATAGGGCTAGAGTTAGTGTTAGAGCTAGAGCTCGGGTTAGAGTTAGTGTTAGAGCTAGGGATAGAGTTAGTGTTAGAGCTAGGGCTAGCGTTAGTGTTAGAGCTCGGGCTAGAGTTAGTGTTAGAGCTCGGGTTAGAGTTAGGGCTAGAGTTAGTGTTAGAGATAGGGCTAGAGTTAGTGTTAGCGCTAGGGCTAGAGTTAGTGTTAGAGCTCGGGCTTAAGTTATAGGGCTAGGGCTAGAGTTAGGGCTAGAGTTAGTGTTAGAGCTAGGGCTAGAGTTAGAGCTATGGCTAGAGTTAGTGTTAGAGCTAGGCTAGAGTTAGTGTTAGAGTTAGGGCTAGAGTTAGTGTTAGAGCTAGGGCTAGAGTTAGGGCTAGAGTTAGTGTTAGAGCTCGGGTTAGAGTTAGTGTTAGAATTAGGGCTAGAGTTAGTGTTAGAGCTAGAGTTAGTGTTAGAATTAGGGCTAGAGTTAGTGTTAGAGCTAGGGCTAGAGTTAGTGTTATAATTAGGGCTAGAGTTAGTGTTAGAGCTAGGGCTAGAGTTAGTGTTAGAGCTAGGGCTAGAGTTAGAGCTAGGGCTAGAGTTAGTGTTAGATTTAGGGCTAGAGTTAGTGTTAGAGCTGGTGCTACAGTTAGTGTTAGAGCTAGAGGTCTTCGACCTCTCCACCCCAGGTTTTTCTCCCCAGGCAGCAAAGTCAGACGTGCGGGTGGGAGGCGGAGGGGGTGTGCCCAGTCCCTTTGTTATACTTCGGGGTAAGCCAGTGCCGGATTATCCCAGTAGCAAAAGTATTATATGCTACGGGCCCCCCACTTTCAAGAGTCCCGCGCTAAATGCTTTCAAGCTATCAAATCCAGTTCAGTGATTATGCACTTGCTCTATTACTACAGTACTATACTGCCTTCAACTTGTATGAACGGCTGGGTGTTTAAGGTAAGCAATTTACTCGTAATATCTGGCTGTATAGCAAATGAAAAAATGCAATTACTTTACTATGCAAGTAAAGACAATTACGTGTTTTAATATTGACGTGTTTTTTTTGTTATTGAGGGCCCCTTTATCAATTATCCTTCAGGCCCCGCACTAGCTTAATCCGACACTGGGGTGAGCCCATTGTGGGGCAATGCCCATGCCATCAGGGAAGCTGCATACGGTATAGGGCGTAATGCAGTGGCTTTAACCGGGGATGCACGCACCCCCTGGGAGTACGAGATACCCTTTCTGAGAACCAAAGGCGTGCAGGCTGCAGTAAATATTAAGAACCACGTGTGTTAATGCATGAGGGGAGAAGACGCCGGGAACAAGCAACGGTCTAAAGAGGCCCAGCCAATCCCAGATCGTGGGACAGCTGAAGTTGATTGCGTCTCCAAATGCGTACGGCTCTCCCAAATTAAAGGGTACATTAACGGACAGATGTTGGGGCGAAACAAAGGATGAGAAACCTGAATGCCCCCCCCTCCCTACCCCACGAGGGGAAATTCCCCCTCGTGCTTCCAGGGCTAAGTATGTTTCGTGTCTCCCACTTGTCCCCGCGGGGCCCCGTCGCGTCTGTGATGCGACGTTACGGCGTCCAGCAGGGAGACACTGGCGCGTCGAGGTTTCGAGTGAGCCAGCGCTAGGAGCAGAGGTCCGAGGGGTGGAGTTCACATCCCGACACCGCGACGCCGCCGTCTGTCTGGCTGTCTGTCCGTGGTCACGCGTTCCCTGGTGCAGGGAGATATGTGCCGAGTTCGAGTACATTGCCGCACTTTCCTGTCGACAAGTATATTTTTTTTGCGTGGAAATAATTTCCCAAATCCCAGTCCCCCGTGTGCTCATTTTGCTGCCGAACCGTAACAAGGCGCCCACAGAGGCCCGGTGTGGTTTGTCCTCCAAGGCGCGAGTCCCGGTAAACGGCGAGAATTATACAATAAACGTCCTTTGTTGTTAACTTTGAGCGAATTGTGTGTGGTCTCTCCAGTGCCGGATTAAGCTAGTGCGGGGCCTGTAGCATATGCTAATAAAGGGGCCCTACATTTTTTAAAAAATGAATTTTTTTTTACACTTGTGCCGTGGCATCGAGTAGGAGCAGAGCGCTGGTTGCTGGCAGGATTGGGGATCTGCGGCGTGCGGCAGCCCTGGCGCCAGCAGGCCACGTTACACTCCAGAGGGGAGTCTGGGGGAAGGGGTACAGAAGGGGCACACCAAGAACCCGCTGGTAGGTTCCAGAACGGGTGGCTTTGGGGCCGTCCATAAATGACGTCACGCACGTACGTAGGGGGAGAGGGGGGGTCAGACATTTGTGATGATGTGTGACGATGGGGGGGGGGGGGAGGTTTGAGAAATGTGACGTCAGATCAAAATGCGCAACTTTAAATAAATGTAGACAACACGTTCTACTTAATTAAATAGACTTTTTAATAAATGTTTTCTCTTACAACATCAGAGTGCAGCGCCACATTAAATACGCACTACAATGGCACTAGGTTAAAGCGATTTGAAGCATGTTTTATATATATTTTGGGGGGGGGGGGGGGGCAGAGCTTTGTGACGTCATATTTCCCTTTTTGTGACGCCGTGTGACGATGGGGGGGGGGTCAAAAATCGTCCAAAATCGCGTGACGTCATTTATGGACGGCCCCTTTGTCTGGGAAACCTGTGGGGTAATCGCACCCACGCGGCGCTCGACGCGTTCATGTGCGCCGGCGACGGTGCCCCGCGCAACCTCCGCGCGTTCGCGAGAAACAAACGGAAAATTCCGCGGCTGGATGCGGTCGACGCGACAGAAATGAATTGTCCTCGCTGCAGTTGTCACTCGCAATCATCGACACCACCAGCGTCCTCCGAATTGTAACGTCATTCGGCACCTCGCGCGTCATTGCGAGCGATCGCCGCGAAGATGATGATGATGATCATGATGATGGCGATGTTGGTGATGATGCGCGTCTTTAACATCGTTAAACACCAACATCACCGTCGTCATCATC